TCTAAAATCAAGAAGTCCCAGCATTCTACGTAATGGTCTATCACAAATGTCGGCCACCCATGATGCAAAAACAAACCACTATTCTGTTGAATCAATTCAATACTCCACGCACTGCCGCTAGGGTCGAACAACAAAACTAACGCAGTTATTCTACCTTCCATATTTCTCATGAATCTTTATGGGATTTTCAGTCTTTCGGAGCTCAACTCATCATAATAAAACGCAAAAAATGAGTGCTCCTCAAATTCTGAGCTTCCTCCATTGAAATTAGCTATGCAAGTTTCAAACTCTAAATAGAAAACAGAATCTCAGTGATATTTTCTGAGCAACCAAACAGGTCCTAACATTTTCCCCTCCGATTTAAAATTAACGAAGCAAGAACGAACAAAATTCAAGATGGGATTTGTGATCGTATAAATTATTGGGGTTTTTTTTTTCAAATTTTTTTTAATGAGGAAGTGGCATACTTGTAAAAAAGGAAAGTCTATTTCTAACGGGAGCGGCTGACGGAGTGGGGTTCCGTTAGGGGTGAGAGCTGGAAAAAAATATATTTCGTTTTGGACTTTTAATTCAGCCCATGTGTATTCAAGGTTTATAGGGCCTGATATATAATAGTTTTGTCCTTATCATGAAATATAAAGTCCTTTTGGTTAAATAATAGTATATGGTGATTTTTGGTTAAATTAAACTTAATCCAAGCCCTTTTCATTAAAGCTTCTTTATTAAAATTCTTATAAATCCGGGTATTCAATTATGATTTTAAAGAAGTTTATTGAATTAGAAATTGATTTTAAAGAATTTTAAAAAATTGAGGAATTAGAGGGAATTGGAGAGATTTCGTAATGTATTTTAAGTATCCACAAATCTCAGCTCTCCCCATGAGATTTCGAGGAAATTGAATCAAAATTTTATATGGAATCTCTATAAATCAATTAAACTCTATAAAAATCCATGAATTTATAATTCCGTTAGTTTTTCAAATTCCCGATTAAATGCACCTTAATGTTTTGGAAACTCTTATTTTATCTTTCCAGAGTAATGAGCTTAAGAATTCTGAAAAGAAAAAAATACACCTAGCGATTGAACGTTATGAGTCGCAGGGAGGAAAACTCAAACGATTTAAAAAGGTAATGAAAACCTGCAAATGCATTTGTGTATTGTGTTTCATTTATTATTAAAACCCATTACTAAAAGACAGGTCTTGACACACTTCATCTTAATCGTTCAATATATTTTCTTCAGCAGCTTCGGCTTAGAGGATGAGATGAATAGAGGTTTATATGGTTTGTCCTTGGGACGTTCTGGGCACTTTTCCAACCAGTGGAGACCTTTATCCCTACAATAGTTACAATATGCCACAATAAGACATCCTTTGGAGGAACCACCAGGATGGGCACAACGGTTGGGGTTTTTGTAGAGTCGACGATCAAAAAGACCACAAACTACACCATAACCATCGCCAACAATCGTGCCCGGTGGGACACTATTCGAGTATGGGCAGGCGGAACTGAAGTGCTCATATTCCTTACGGCAAACTCTACAGTGCCGGAAATTATGCTTTTCTTGTTCTGTTTTTTCCTCGAGTTGGAGTTGAGCCTTTGAGTCTCCAGCGTCCTTTAGTAAACATTTTTGGTTTTCTATTTGTTAGTAGTTCCATTGTTAAATACACGAAGAAGAAGAAGAAGAAAACTTCCAAATCACACGTATAGAGTAAAAACCATAACCTAATTTTTCTTGCAACACAACACGTATACTATAGAGTTACAAACAACATGTATTGAGCCAATTACACAATTATTAAGTAGCAATTGAATTGAAATGAATTGTGACCTAAGGAGAGTAGATGCATGCATATATGTTCATTCGGGAGATATTGATAATTATTTATATTACTCAATTAATCAAATAAAAAGGATTCAAGGTAATCTTCCCAACACAAACCCTAAAACAAAAATCAAAAGCCATACCATTATGTCTCTAGATATGGAGGACTCCCTGTCGGGGTTTCTCCACTGTTGAGATTTGATGATGTGAGGAAAAGTTTGTCCTACATCGGTGAGGGACATGTCTTGCTATGGGCTTATATGGTCTTGGGCTACTTTCCATATGACCAATTGGTTTTATGGTGGAACCCTAATTTCATTATCCACGGATCCGGATCTCACACTATACTTGGATTTGGGTTTGGTTTCAGATTTGTACTTGGATTTGGCTTTGACTTTTGCCTTTGCGTCGTCAGAAGAGAAAAAGAGAGATTGCATGAGTAGGGCTAATGGAATTGCATTCTTTTCCAGACATTCAAGCCGTTTACTAACATTTCCAGAATCAAAACAAGATGGGGTCCACTTAAAATCAGGAATTGGATCCCTAAATCTCCTGAAATCAGATCCCCTAGATGGAGGTGGTATTTGGATTCCATGGAGAAGGTTCTTCCAGGAATCCAACTTTTATACCCAAACCGTATCTTCTACCTCCCCCTTCGTATCTGTGACTCTGTTTGCCCAGTCTGCCGACCCCCTTGCATGTTCACCAACTCAATCACGGTTCTAGATGAGGTACACTTAAAAATCAGGAATTGGATCCTTAAATCTCCCGGAATTGGATCCCCTAGATGGAGGTGGTATTTGGATTCCGGGAAGAAGGCTCTTCCAGGAATCCAACTTTTATACCCAAACTACCCCCGTATCTTTTACCTACCCCTTCGTATCTATGACTTTCATTGCCCAGTATGCCGACTCCCTTGCATGTTCACCAGCTCAATCACGGTTTTGGATGATTTGGTGCCGGGATGGGCTTGGAAGACTGAGTTGGTGGAATGAGTTGTCGTTGGCGAATAACGGATTTGAAACTCCTTCGATGCCGCATCTGCCAATTGAACGACTAACACCTGGAATTGAAGCTACAGTGGTCGTGGATCCATTGCTATGGTGGTTGAGGGGTATATTCCAGTGGCTGTGTGGTTGGAGAGAGATGGAGGGAGATGATAAGTAGATGGAAAAATAAGAGAGGGGAGCTGAAGATAGTTGGGGTGGGGCGGTGGCTATGGAGGCGTAAAGGGGTGGAAGATGGAGACAGGGCAAGGAAAGACAGGGGTGGGTGGTGCGCATTGCAGCTTGACCTTCAAGATGAAGGTGTGGGAAAGATGGAGATGTGGGAAATGTGCAGCTGGACCTATTTATATATTTTTATATAGATGAATTTTATTATATAAATTTAACTAAGAAATTTAATTAAATTAATTAGTATGAAAATAATTTATTTATGTAAGGGAAATTTAGTAATCAACCTAGTTTTAATTCCGATTGAAGTGAATTAGTAAACAACTTATATAGACTCAACATCATTTATACTTCGATTCCAGGCAGTTTTAGTAAACAACTTCAACATGAATCTAATTCTGATTCCACCTCAATTCAATTCCTTCTCAATCCAATTCCTCTCAATCTGATTACGGATTACTAAGCGTGCCCTTAGCGTTGTGGAGGTGAGACTGGATTTCGGTTTGGTTCTAGTTTTTGCTTCGTTTTTGGCCATGGCTTTCCGCAGAGAAAAGATTGCAGATCAGAGAGTCAGGAGAGGGGACAGAAAATGAGAGATTTTCACAAATTAGGGTTTTAGCGTTATTGTCAATGGTGATGTATAAAAAGGAAGAGGGCCGACTTCAATTTAATAGGAAGTAAATAAATTGCCTTTTTGTTTTCTTTTTTTATTTGTAAAGAAAACTGATTTTACAGCTGAAAGAAGTCAATACATTCGAAACCTTCCTCTCTTTTTTTTGTCGCAATTTTAGGGCTATTTTGAAAATGTGGATGGTTTTCACAATTTTCTCTCAAGCGAAAACCTTAATTCTACAATTTACTCTCTCACACCATCCTAACGCTGAAACCCTAATTCTGCAATCTCTCTACTTCATAATGCTAAAAACCCTACTTCTGCAATCTCTTTCTTTCTGTCTCACGACGCCATGGAAAAATTGAAAGCAAAATCCAATTCTTAAACCAAAAACAAATCCGCAACCAAACCCAAAATTTCAACTACTGCGTGAGGTCAGATCCTTGTATGGCTTTTTATTTTTGTTTTAGGATTAATTTGTGATGGTGAAGATATTATATGGAATTTTGGTTATAGGCTAATCGAATATTATAAATAATTAACATCTTCCAACTGAATATACATGCATCTATATACCATCCGTCAAACTCATTTCAATTCCAATTCTATTTAAATCAGTTGCTACTAAATAATATTTTTTTCCTTTCCTGGAGTGGAGTATTTCAAGCAAAGCAGGTGGCCTGCACGGCAATCGTATTGTTTGTAGAAGAAAGGTTAATTTGCGCAATTGGTTCAGTAAATGTTTTTTCGAACCCTATACATAGTATACATACTGTGTACCAACTCTGATATATATATATATATATATATATATATATATATATATATGCGCAACAGTTTATTGAAAATGTCATAGTGCTTGTGCAGACCTATTCCCGATCGACCATCTCCATACTAGGCATGTTACATTCGTAGCAGAGCCCGACGACGAGAGAGAGAGAGAGAGAGAGAGAGAGAGAGAGATGGAGATGGCGAGGAAGAATTGTGGGGTTTTGATACGAGAGACGATGATCGGGATTGGGATTGGCAATCGCTATAACCCCCGAATCCCAATCCCAGGTCGTCTTCTTCATCATCACCGTACGGTCCAAACCCTAGCCCCCCCAAATTCAATGCCAACAACCACAGCAGCAGCAGTATCTGCCATTCCTTCCTCCAAGGCATCCGCCTCCTCCTTGGCCTCGCTCCCAGCCAGGGTCTCCGCCTCCGGTGCACTCCCGACCTCGGCCTTAGGCCCAGGCTCAAGTAAGTAGCCCCTCCCGCTCGCTCTTTCTCTCTCTCTCTCTCTCTCTTCCTGTTTTTATCATCTATCTGCCACTGACTGCGCTGCCGGCTGTTTCTACAGAACTTCTATTTCCGAGTCCCCAAGACATGATCATGTTGACGGAAAAGAAGGAATATAAGAGAGCAATTAAAGAAGTTAAAGGTAAACAACTGCAGATTACTACCTAGTATTGCATTGGATTGAACACAACATGTATGATTTGGACTTGTTAGTTAATTACATTAAAATGAGGAAAAACAATCATGAAAAAAATGATCCATAATCTGATCAGAATTGCTTCCCAATTCCCACCCACAAGTGCATATTCAATTCAGTTGGAACTCGGATATTCCTCCCTTGCTGGCTGGCTTTCCAAAAGGACCGCCTTTGCATTTAACATGGACAAAAAACTTTCAAAACCTTTCTTGTTATTCTATGCAGCTTCTTATTTATTTTGTAGGTGGACGTTTGCCAGCAGTTTTCTACTTTACTGCAGCCGCTTGTCCAAATAGTAAGTTGTGATGCAAAACAATTTTATCAGTCAAGTTATTTCTTGTAAACTGCTCCTCTGGTGTACTATTCTTTTGCAGCCGTCACGTACTCAATTCCAATCGTTCGAAAGATCAGGGAGCATTTCCCACATGTAAAACTATATAAGGTTCTGATTACTGTTGAGGTATGGTGTCCTAATCTGCTAACTTGATTGGATCATTTGGGAACTATATTTTCATATTGTAAACTGTTTGTATCCCATCTTAAGATTAAGGTGAAAACAACATGTGGGTTCTAGTTTTTTGAATCTTAAATCTTAATAAATTACTAGACAAGTATTTAACTTTTGTTTTTCACTACCTGGCCATCTGGCAGTTGCTATACTGTTTGAAATTAAAGTATTTTACTTTGGTTTTTTTATAATGATTTCTTTATGAAAGCAATTTTTTTTTTTCCCAACAGGATCGTATTATAATGTGAAGCTAGGAATTAGAAATAATGTTAAGAATATTTAAATTCATTTCACAAATTCTATGTAAAATGCTCCTCTGTACCAAAACAAAATTCAAATCTCTTTTGGTTTCATGGATAACTTGGCGAACAAAGGGAACTTCATTTTGGATTGCATGATAACATCAGTAGTGCATAAGTTCAAAAACAAATTAATGAATAACAAGTGAAAATCATTGATTTAATATGACATGGAGGTATACAGTTCACCCACTAGAGTTCATATAAATATTAGACCAAAGATTGTAAAATTCTATGATTTTACCTTTTACTTTCCAAATATATATAAGGAAGAACTGTTGTAAATAGAATTTAGCAGTCCTTGATACTAAGAAGAAATAAGTTTTCTATCATAAATCAAGTTTCTTCTGAGTGTTTTTCTGGGCAGTTTGTGATCGCATCACAAATCACAATGCTTAATGCAACTAGGTGCATCTTTATCTCTTTTGCTTACCCTGTTCTATACATTGCCTTGGTAAAACATACATAAATATTGTCACACCTGATAAAGCAAATTTGCTGGAGTATCAATCTTTTATTTCGATACTCTAATTATCATTTGTCATGCAGTATGGTATATAGAAGGCTTATGGTATTATATCTTGTTATGCCCTTTAAATTATTGTCCTAACATTGTTTATTCTATTTATAGAGCGACTTGCGCCCAATAGCATATGATTTGGCTGTTTGCATTTTTGTAAGTGATTCTGTCCCTTTTGTTATCATTGCATGTTCGTAACATAATTAGTTCATTGATTGCTCATGTATGTAACCTTTGTGTTTTTATTATGATTAAAAAACTTGTGGTGTTTTCTTACCATCTGCTAATTGAAAGTTTAGAATAGCTATACTTGCTATACATATATATTTGTATTGGCTAATTAGGCCGTTAGATTAAGCTGAGTAAATAATTCAGCCTTGCTTTCATCTAAAAATTGCAAATTAATTTGATGACCTGTGCATTTTGCTGCAGCCAACATTCCTTTTCTATCAAAACGGGGTTAAGGTTGATGAGATTGTTGGTGCTTATGCTGATCCCGTGATGGATATGTGTGAAAAACTTTACAGGTAATTCTTTTCTTCATTTTTTTACATTTGTTTGTTTTTGCATATTTGTGAATGCAGTATCTCACTTGGTGCCTTTGGGGTTTTTGATGGTTCAGTTTAAGTTTACATCTATGTGATCACGCGCAGTATCTCACTTGTTTTGGATTTATATCTGTCTCTCTTATATATATATATATATATATATAGTTAGTTAGTTAGTTACTAAACCCTATTATTGACCTTCCACATATGTGTACTTTCCAATAAAGATACATCAGGCCAGTTGAAACCCCTCAGCGGACGAGGTCATCCTGGAAGGGGAAAACGGATACTCAACAACTTGTCCTACAAGCTAAGAAAGATGAGAATGACGTAGTAGTTGCAGGAGGGTGGAAAGTGGGAGATGGTTCGATGTTCTTCCAATGGAAAGGTGGTGCGGTAGCTGTTGATAGTAGTGACGTACCTTCAGTTAGTGAAGTGATGAAGGATGTTGAATCTTTATGTACAGCACCAAGGGGTTTCAGTATGTGGTGTTTTGCGAAAGGACTATTTACAGCTAAGCCTGAGAAGAGAGTGGTATTTTCAAACATTAAAGATCCTGGGCTCAAGATTGGTTGGTTTCGTGAAGAAATGGAGGTGGAATAAGTTGGATGCACTTAAATTTATGAATTATATTATATGCTGTTGACATCATATATATGGTTCGGATGGGTGGGTTTATTTAAATTTGGACAAGTAAGTTGTACTAGTAGATGTTTGTGCTACGTTGACTCTTATTTGATTATATAATATTGAGCCTATCTTTGGTTTCCTTCTGGTACTAGCATTGTTATTATCTGCCAGTGCAACAATTTTTTGCCCATTTTATCATATGTTTACCAGCTGTGATTTGTCAGAACTGTTCTCCTAAACCCTAGAGGTTTAGAGAAAATGGGTGTCACCCACCGTTTGGTCTTTAATCTAACGGTAGGTGCTTATTTTTAAGTTGTACTTTATCTTATACCGCCGTTGGATTAAGATCGAACCCACCGTTTGGTCTTTGATCTAACTGTAGGTGCTCGTTTAACTTTTCTGTTGTACTTTTTATCTTTCACCGTTGGATTAAGATTGAACCCACCATTTGATCTTTTATCTAACAATAGTAAGTGACCACTATTTCCATCATTATGGTGGAACATGACTCGGGGAGATAGTAAAATGACTGATACTTAGTATAGTGAAAGCTATGGGTTCAATGTTAAATGCTCCATCATCATAGTGGATCTCAAGAAAACTGCCACATGCTTGATCGATGCATTATATTACTAAGGAATGAAAAATCAGTCAAAACTGTTTGGGGTTCATTCATATAGCAGAAACGGTACAAGAGTAACATAAAACTTTTCCAGAAGCCGATAATATATAGCACTCCAAAGTTGTCGTCTGTCTTGCACTCAGTAGTGCATGCACAAGTGTAACATGACGACTATTATCGAGTGCTATTACGTAAATAAGCAAACAAGTTGAGCGTTACACTCAATCGTGCATGCACGAGTGCAATATGACGACTATTATCGAGTGCTATTACGTAAATAAACAAACAAGTCGAGCGTTACATTTACTTACATAATTATCCAAATTCCAAACCAGGACACTAAGTGGTCTGGACCATAGTGTCAACAACCTCACATAACAAGATTCATAATCCGAATATAAATAAATACATTATTCCTAAGGCATGTTGGCATACAGCCATTCATCAGAAAACATCTCTCCTTCTTCCCCCTCAGCCATCTCACTACACAGCCATTCAAGCTTGGCATCATCATCTTGCAGCTTGGAAAATGTCTCTCTCTTCTCCTGAGATAAAAATAGCCCTTTTGCAAACCACCATAGCCTGTCACCGGGTTCTACCCCAGGTAAAGACTCAACTGCCTCCATCGCTTTAGGATATGACGATGCAACAAAACTAATCGGAAGTACCTCAACAAGTTGTGACGGATCCACTCCACCTTTTATAACTTGTCTTCTCCTTTTCTTCATCCCAGATGGACTAATTTACACACATTAAGCAAGTCATCAGACGATCGAGGATATTCAACATATATGATTCCATTAACAAATACACAAAATCAGCAAACAAAAAGTAACCAAGAGATTGACCACCAAAAAAAGAAAAAAGAAACCAAGAGATTGAAGGATTACTTGTAAACATTTGCGAGAGTCTTTAACAAGCTGTTGATAGAAGGTTTGGCAAGTTCATCAACCTTTTCCCCTTTTAGAAAGAAACGGAACGTTGGCTGCAGAAAAATGCACACATCAGCACAATGAGGTTTCAAGAACAGACACGTGCGCTATAAAAAATACAAGGATCAAATCATTTACCGTCTTGTAAACTCCCACCCAGCACAATGAGGAACAACCTGCAGTCTATAGATAAAATATAGAACGTCAGGTTCACAAATTTAAAGGCATAATAAAAAGAAGTTATCGTATGATTCTTCTATGTGCAGCTACACGACGGATCATAATTTATATCATTAAGTAATCTTTTACCCATAACAGTTTAGCATGCTTGTTGCTCCTAGGAAAAGAATAAGGACTAGGGATCTAGACTATTCAGCTATTAGCACATAACGAGGAAGTAATCAGAGAATTGCTAAGTTAGCGAGCGTTTCGAATAACTATTAAAATGTTCAAAAATACAGGAACTAACTATTGAACTGAACTTAGACCCGTAACTAGATTCCGTACCTTGAAAAAGCAAACCCTAAATTTTGTAATGTGTGGGTAAAACACACACATGTAATTCAAGATTGGATCATCACTCGAGTAAGAGACTGCACAAGAAGAAACACCGATTATTATTGGGTTTAGGGTTTAAGGTTTACTTAATTGATTACAGTAAATTCAAAGGAAAATTAATAAAAATAACTTAAAAACTTTAAGTTTTAATGATAAGGACAAAATAAAGGGTAAATTGAATAGCACTAGGTTTGACTTTTGAATGAAAAAAATGTAGTTTTTCGTTAAAGTAAACAGTACCGGACTTTTCGTTAAAACTTCCTAAATTCAATTCATTGCACAAAAAAAATGAAAGGGAATTCGATCATTACAACTTACCAGAACTCGATCCCCGACGTTCGGTGAAGTAGAAAACCGCTGAAAGACTTTCATCTGTACCAATAAATTGCCAGAAAACAAAATTATACCCTAAAACTAAACATTTTCAAAAAGAAATTACGGGTAAAACAATAGCATGCACACCTTCAACTTGTTTGAGTGCATCGTCATATTGGGGTGCGACATTCAAGAAGAAAACGTTGGGAGGAGGACGAGGAGCCGGATCTCGATCTCCATCTGGAAGTGGAACCGAGTGCTTGTGTCTCACAAAATGGAGGTTTGGGTTTGGGTGGTAGTTAAGGAGGGAACAAGGGTAGTAGACGGAGGAGGTGGCGGCAGCAGGGGCGGCGGCTAATTTCCAATTAATTGCCGTCTGTGGTGGTTGTGGTGGGGAAGTTTTTGATGGTCTGGAGGAGTTTAGAGTTTGGACAGAATTAGAAAGGAGACGTGCGCAGAGCTGGTGCTTGTTGCGATTTCCCCCGACCAACTGCCGCGTCAAAACCCCCCCGAAATTCATCCTCGCCATTTTCGCCTCTCTCGATCTCGATTCGCTGATCCCTAAAACCGGCGGTTGTTAAAAATAGGGTTTAGCCTGGGCGAATTTCAATTACAAGCCCAATCACTTCTCAAAGTCAAATCGTTGAAGAAGAGTCACAAGTCAAACTTAAATCCATGCATAAAGTACGAAATAAAATAATAGTTTATTGGACCCAAGTCCATACAAATCACGCAAATATATCATGCCAAGCTGTGTTGCGTATTGTAATTCTCAGTTTACTACCGTGAAGTTTTTTTGGTTTTCAAAATTTTATACATCAAGTTTTTTCGTTCCAATTTGATACCTAAAGTGATAATTATGGGACACTTTCATACATTTGTTAAACTTTCTCTTTAAACAATCATTAACCTGTGATGTGGCGCTAGATCTGATAATTTCATAATTTCTTACACGATCCGTTAATACAACACAAAAATAACAGATTTTGGATCAATACTAATCGGGTCACCCGTTATGAACTTGTTAATAACGGATTTATACCTTAGTAACCCGTGTAAATTGAGCAAAGAGCATATTGACAATTTAAAGTACCATTTCCAAAAGAATTGATACACAAATGAAGTAGTATTTCGACTAAACCCCGCGAACAATGACCGCTTAGTTGCATACCAACGATCATATGTTCAAAGCTCTCAAAATTCCTAACACGGTTCACACTTACTCTAGGTGTATTATAAACTGGTCAGAAACAATATCGTAAGGGTTGACAATACGAGCAAAAATGTGTGCAATGACAATGAGATTTAAAACGAAAATGCAAACCCGAAAAAGCTAACATCTAACTTTTGATGTGGAAGAATATGTAAGTAATAATAACATCTGAATTCTTGAGCAATTATTCAAACAAATGAACTCACTCAAGTGCAGATGAAGGGTTCTCGTTCTGCTCACACAATGCATCCGGGACTTCCCCATATAAAAAAATCACAAAAATATATGAAAAATAAAACAGAAAAATAAAATGTGCATCAAATTAGTCAATAAAAAGAACACAACCCACAAAATAAACCAGGAAAAGTCTCAAACTTCAACAAACCTTTGGTGAGGACATCAAGAACTCCACTGGATTCTAACTACTTCCTGAATGCTGAGGTGGGATGGGGGGGTATTTTTCTGGGGTTGTTTCTTTCGATTTGATCTAGCTGTAAGTGGAAGCTTTGGCCTACCTTATTGCTGCTGCTAACGGTCCAAATATGATCAGTGGGTCAAACCACAGTTTTCGTCATGTTAATTGGTTGAAAAGATAATTGATTGAATTTCTTCTTATTTTCGGGAAGTGTTTTTCGCACTTTATTTTCTGTAGTACATTTTTTGGTTTTTTTTTTTTTTTTTTTTTGGTGAAACAATAGATTTTATTAGATTAGATTTTAGATTAGTCACCGACGAGGTTTAAACTCACGTTGTCATGCAAGGACTTAACTCCTTTCTATCACTGTGGTAAAATATCATTTGCACATTTTTTTGGTATTTAGTTGTGTACAAATGTTATACTTTGAATTGTTGATTCTCTTTATCATAATAATTTGCCTTTTTATTTTTCCTACCTTCACGCTTATCTCATCACATGTGGATTCCATTTACCCATCTAACTTAAATGATGTATTCAATCGGGATTTTGAAAGATTTTAATTCTTTTAATAAATTTAGGTATTTTCAATCAGGTTTTTCAGTGATTCTTCGAGATTCAAAATGTATTCCATCAGGAGTTTAAGATAGTTTATTAAAAATGAAAACTAATGAAAATGGCTTCATAACTTTGAATCTTAACAAAAAATCACATACTAACTTTATTTAATGGTTAGGATAAACCAAACATTAAATCAACCCAATCAAAATTGGCCCAAACAATGAGTTTCCGATTTTACCCTAATGGCAACACATTCTCCCGTTTATTTCATCCGCTTCACTTCAGATGAAATAAAAAAAACTTTTGTACGGTTTCTACAAGTTTCTACAGATCTCATGGCATTTTCTCTCTGCTATTTTCTCAATTTATAATTTCGATCTGATTGTCTACGATAAAGATGACCCCACCCTTGTGATCCATGAGGAAGTCAAGGCCAGGAAGAGTTCGAGAAGTTCGGAACGCTCCCGACCAGTCTTCCACTGATAACTAGAAGTTCGAGCGAGTTCTGACGATCATCAGAGATAGCTTAAAGATGGACTCCAAGAGGTAACTGTAAATTTTGTTTCGAATTTGTGAAAAAGTGTGGATTTGTTTCTCTCTATTTATTTTCTGCATATTTGGGGTCTTCTAGGTGTGATTATGTTGAGTATTTCTGGGCTTTTGCAATATTTTACTCATATCCTTTTCAAGTGATTTTTTTAGAAGATGAAATGATTAAGTGTTTGGAGTTTTCTGGTTGCTTTTGATTTGTAGAACTTTTATTGTTTAAATTAATAAATGAATTATTTTTTAAATGTAAAGATTGGTTGGTCTGCAGTAGAATTGAACATTTGAATCTGTTTTCACAGCTTGCTGCAAGAGAAGATAAATATGCAAGTCAAATTTGCAATCAAGAACGATGTCACCGAAGTACCATTTTTCTTCATGAAACTTAAGCATTCAATTTAGCTTTCAATTTTTATTTTGTTTTATATTTTGATTTGGCCTATGATGCACTCTCATTGTCCTCTTGATTCCTGCAGCTGATTGAAAATACCCCGTTGGTATATCTCAACCATATTTGTTGTGGATGGTTGCGTGGCACGAATTGCTGCCAAGCTAGAGGCAATGGAACTCTGCGCTAGTGTAAAGGGCAGGCATTTTCTTTGCACTTTTCCCTAAGGGATATTGATTTTGTTGTCCTTATGCGAAAGAAATCAATACTCAAGGTTCATACACATTTGATCTTGAATTTGTATATGCAGGAGTGAATATTGTATGATCAAGGTTTTTAATTTTCAGAAATTGTCAATGTCTAGTTTAAAAAATAGTGATATTAAATTGATTGACTATTTATGAAATTTTCATAGGTACTACACTATTTATTAAACTGACTGACTATTTATGAAACTGACACATCTAATACACTATTTATTAAGCTCACTATTTATGAAACTGACACGGGTACTACACTATTTATTAAATTGACTGACTATTTATGAAATTGATACGGGTACTACACTATTTGTTAAACTGACTAACTATTTATGAAACTGATATATGTACTACACTATTTCTTAAACTGATTGACTATTTATGAAACTGTCACATGTACTACATTATTTATTAAGCTCACTATTTATGAAACTGACACGAGTACTACACTATTTATTAAATTGATTGATTATTTATGAAATTGATACGGGTACTACACTATTTATTAAATTGACTAATTATTTATGAAACTGATACATGTACTACACTATTTCTTAAACTGACTAACTATTTATGAAACTGACATATATACTACATTATGAAACTGACACGGGCACTCACTATTTTTATTAAATTGACTGACTATTTATGAAATTGATACGGATAATACACTATTTCTTAAACTGACTGATTATTTATCAACTGACACATGTACTACACTATTTAAGAAACTGATACGAGCACTCACTATTTTTATTAAACTTACTGATTATCTATGAAATTGATATGGGTACTACACTATTTATTAAACTAATTGACTATTTATGAAACTGATACATGTACTACACTATTTATTAAACTGACACAGGTACTACACCATTTATTAAATTGACTGACTATTTTTTAACAGAACCAAAATAACTCATCCTAATAAGTAACAATGAACGCACTTACAACAATGACTTTAATTATTAGACTATTAGTCAATTAGGCAACCAGAAGTTGGATTACCAAATTAGCTAATCCTAACCCACCACCCTCACGACAAGTCATCTTAGTCATGTGTGCTATGCTGATGCTATATATATATATATATCGAACAAGTAACAACTAACAAGCACGTTCAAGGAAACTTGGATAAATGGCTCACAAGTACTATAACAATGCACTAGTACTACTAGTGTTTGCCAGCATTGTGGCGCAGGAAGGAATGTTAATGGTGGGTGCTGCTCAACGAGATCTTTTATTATGGTCTCGTTTCTTTGAAACTTTGCTTTATATATATAGAAAAACATCCAAACCAGGCTTTTCATAGTACAACATCCAACCCAGGGTTTTCATGTGGATTTTCTTCCTTGGAACAAGTTGCTTCTTCTCAACCCTCATCGATGCATTCTGACTGGAATTGAGACAAGCCATTTCTCATCTTCTTCGTCGCACCATCAACCAGCTTATTGCCAGATGATGGGGCCTCCTCCCTTCCCCTTTTTCGTTTCATATACACATACTTTTCAAAGTTGCTAGAGGCTTGGCTATATCCAAAACGAAATGCAGCTTCTTTCTCACGCAAACTTTTATAAGAGATTAGCACGATGAAACGCAAATCACCGTCGTATCTAAAATCAAGAAGTCCCAGCATTCTACGTAATGGTCTATCACAAATGTCGGCCACCCATGATGCAAAAACAAACCACCATTCTGTTGAATCAATTCAATACTCCACGCACTGCCGCTAGGGTCGAACAACAAAACTAACCCAGTTATTCTACCTTCCATATTTCTCATGAATCTTTATGGGATTTTCAGTCTTTCGGAGCTCAACTCATCATAATAAAACGCAAAAAATGAGTGCTCCTCAAATTCCGAGCTTCCTCCATTGAAATTAGCTATGCAAGTTTCAAACTCTAAATAGAAAACAGAATCTCAGTGATATTTTCTGAGCAACCAAACAGGTCCTAACATTTTCCCCTCCGATTTAAAATTAACGAAGCAAGAACGAACAAAATTCAAGATGGGATTTGTGATCGTATAAATTATTGGGGTTTTTTTTTTTCAAATTTTTTTTTAATGAGGAAGTAGCATACTTGTAAAAAAAGGAAAGTCTATTTCTAACGGGAGCGGCTGACGGAGTGGGGTTCCGTTAGGGGTGAGAGCTGGAAAAACAGTTATGGGTGAGAGCTGGAAAAAAAAAAATTTCGTTTTGAACTTTTAATTCAGCCCATGTGTATTCAAGGTTTATAGGGCCTGATATATAATAGTTTTGTCCTTATCATGAAATATAAAGCCCTTTTGGTTAAATAATAGTATATGGTGATTTTTGGTTAAAGTAAACTTAATCCAAGCCCTTTTTATTAAAACTCCCTTATTAAAATTCTTATAAATCCGGGTATTCAATTATGATTTTAAAGAAGTTTATTGAATTAGAAATTGATTTTAAAGAATTTGAAAAAATTGAGGAATTAGAGGGAATTGAAGAGATTTCTTAATGTATTTTAAGTATCCACAAATCTCAGCTCTCCCCATGAGATTTCGAGGAAATTGAATAAAAAATTTATATGGAATCTTTATAAATCAATTAAACTCTATAAAAATCCATGAATTTATAATTCCGTTAAAGTTTTTCAAATTCCCGATTAAATACACCTTAATGTTTTGGAAACTCTTATTTTATCTTTCCAGAGTAATGAGCTTAAGAATTCTGAAAAGAAAAAAATACACCTAGCGATTGAACGTTATGAGTCGCAGGGAGGAAAACTCAAACAATTTAAAAAGGTAATGAAAACCTGCAAATGCATTTGTGTATTGTGTTTCATTTATTATTAAACCCCATTACTAAAAGACAGGTCTTGACACACTTCATCTTAATCGTTCAATATATTTTCTTCAGCAGCTTCGGCTTAGAGGATGAGATGAATAGAGGTTTATATGGTTTGTCCTTGGGACGTTCCGGGCACTTTTCCAACCAGTGGAGACCTTTATCCCTACAATAGTTACAATATGCCACAATAAGACGTCCTTTGGAGGAACCACCAGGATGGGCACAACGGTTGGGGTTTTTGTAGAGTCGACGATCAAAAAGACCACAAACTACACCATAACCATCGCCAACAATCGTGCCCGGTGGGACACTATTCGAGTATGGGCCAGGCGGAACTAAAGTGCTCATATTCCTTACGGCAAACTCTACAGTGCCGGAAATTATGCTTTTCTTGTTCTGTTTTTTCCTCGAGTTGGAGTTGAGCCTTTGAGTCTCCAGCGTCCTTTAGTAAACATTTTTGGTTTTCTATTTGTTAGTACTGCCATTGTTAAATACACGAAGAAGAAGAAGAAGAAAACTTCCAAATCACACGTATAGAGTAAAAACCATAACCTAATTTTTCTTGCAACACAACACGTATACTGTAGAGTTACAAACAACATGTATTGAGCCAATTACACAATTATTAATTAGCAATTGAATTGAAATGAATTGTGACCTAAGGAGAGTAGATGCATGCATATATGTTCATTCGGGAGATATTGATAATTATTTATATTACTCAATTAATCAAATAAAAAGGATTCAAGGTAATCTTCCCAACACAAACCCTAAAATAAAAATCAAAAGCCATACCATTATGTCTCTAGATATGGAGGACTCCCTGTCGGGGTTTCTCCACTGTTGAGATTTGATGATGTGAGGAAAAGTTTGTCCTACATCGGTGAGGGACATGTCTTGCTATGGGCTTATATGGTCTTGGGCTACTTTCCATATGACCAATTGGTTTTATGGTGGAACCCTAATTTCATTATCCACGGATCCGGATCTCACACTATACTTGGATTTGGGTTTGGTTCCGGATTTGTACTTGGATTTGGCTTTGACTTTTGCCTTTGCGTCATTAGAAGAGAGAAAGAGAGATTGCATGAATAGGGCTAATGGAATTGCATTCTTTCCCAGACATTCAAGTCGTTTACTAACATTTTCGGAATCAAAACAAGATGGGGTCCACTTAAAATCAGGAATTGGATCCCTAAATCTCCTGAAATTAGATCCCCTATATGGAGGTGGTATTTGGATTCCATGGAGAATGCTCTTCCAAGAATCCAACTTTTATACCCAAACTGTATCTTCTACTTCCCCCTTCATATCTGTGACTCTGTTTGCCCAGTCTGCTGACCCCCTTGCATGTTCACCAACTCAATCACGGTTCTAGATTAGGTACACTTAAAAATCAGGAATTGGATCCCTAAATCTCCCGGAATTGGATCCCCTAGATGGAGGTGGTAATTGGATTCCGGGAGGAAGGCTCTTCCAGGAATCCAACTTTTATACCCAAACTACCCCCGTATCTTTTACCTACCCCTTCGTATCTATGACTTTCATTGCCCAGTATGCCGACTCCCTTGCATGTTCACCAGCTCAATCACGGTTTTGGATGATTTTGTGCCAGGATGGGCTTTGAAGACTGAGTTGGTGGAATGAGTTGTCGTTGGTGAAGAACGGATTTGAAACTCCTTCGATGCCGCATCTACCAATTGAACGACTAACACCTGGAATTGAAGCTGCAGTGGTCGTGGATCCATTGCTATGGTGGTTGGGGGGTATATTCCAATGATTGTGTGGTTGGAGAGAGATGGAGGGAGATGATAAGTAGATGGAAAAATAAGAGGGGGAAGCTGAAGATAGTTGGGGTGGGGCGGTGGCTATGGAGGCGTAAAGGGGTGGAAGATGGAGACAGGGCAAGGAAAGACAGGGGTGGGTGGTGCGCATTGCAGCTTGACCTTCAAGATGAAGGCGTGGGAAAGATGGAGACGTGGGAAATGTGCAGCTGGACCTATTTATATATTTTTATATAGATGAATTTTATTATATAAATTTAACTAAGAAATTTAATTTAATTAATTAGTATGAAAATAATTTATTTATGTAAGGGAAATTTAGTAATCAACCTAGTTTTAATTCCGATTGAAGTGAATTAGTAAACAACTTATATGGACTCAACATCATTCATACTCCGATTTCAGACAGTTTTAGTAAACAACTTCAACATGAATCTAATTCTGATTTCACCTCAATTCAATTCCTCCTCAATCCAATTCCTCTCAATTTGATTACGGATTACTAAGCGTGCCCTTAGCGTTGTGGAGGTGAGACTGGATTTCGGTTTGGTTCTAGTTTTGCTTCGTTTTTGGCCATGGCTTTCCGCAGAGAAAAGATTGCAGATCAGAGAGTTAGGAGAGGGGACAGAAAACGAGAGATTTTCACAAATTAGGGTTTTAGCGTTATTGTCAATGGTGATGTATAAAAAGGGAGAGGGCCGACTTCAATTTAATAGGAAAGTAAATAAATTGCCTTTTTGTTTTCTTTTTTTATTTGTAAAGAAAACTGATTTTACAGCTAAAAGAAGTCAATACATTCGAAACCTTCCTTTTTTTTGTTTTGTCGCAATTTTAGGGTTATTTTGAAAATGTGGATGGTTTTCACAATTTTCTCTCAAGCGAAAACCTTAATTCTACAATTTACTCTCACACCATCCTAACGCTAAAACCCTAATTCTGCAATCTCTCTACTTCATAATGCTAAAAACCCTACTTCTGCAATCTCTCTCTTCTGTCTCACGACGCCATGGAAAAATTGAAAGCAAAATCCAATTCTTAAACCAAAAACAAATCCACAACCAAACCCAAAATTTCAACTACTGCGTGAGGTCAGATCCTTGTATGGCTTTTTATTTTTGTTTTAGGATTAATTTGTGATGGTGAAGATATTATATGGAATTTTGGTTATAGGCTAATCGAATATTATAAATAATTAACATCTTCCAACTGAATATACATGCATCTATATACCATCCTTCAAACTCATTTCAATTCAATTCTATTTAAATCAGTTGCTACTAAATAATATTTTTTTCCTTTCCTGGAGTGGAGTATTTCAAGCAAAGCAGGTGGCCTGCATGGCAATCGTATTGTTTGTAGAAGAAAGGTTAATTTGTGCAATTGGTTCAGTACATGTTTTTTCGAACCCTATATATAGTATACATACTGTGTACCAACTCTGAATCTTTAATCTTTAATATTAGAAAGCCAGCAATCAACTTTAATGTCTCAAGGCTTCACCAAAAATTTCTAGACTAAAATAACCCTCAAACAAAAAAAAACAAAAACCGACACAATATAATACATTAAAAAACTCATGGACATTTTTGTCAGAATACAAAAATATAAAATTTGTTTTATTAACAGAAAAAAAAAAAAAAAGAAACAGATAACTCCTCCATTTTAGGAGAGAGAACAACCAACGTGGGGATAAAATTCCTCAGGATTAGCACGTTTAATTTTCAAACTGCATAGCAGTTTCCATACAATTTTCAAACTCACACGTCTATCTTCTATTCCCCCATTTTCTGATCAAACTTCTTCCCTCACACAATTCCACGTACAACTCTATTCATTCTGTTTTCTAACTGCAGCCTACCACTCCATATTCTTTCCTTCTTTCACTACTATTTCTCTACAGGTTTCAGTTCTCACCCATTTGCATGCTAAGAATGTACACAAATCGGTAAGTCTCTCTCCCGCGCATTTTCTTTAAATTCGGTTTGGTTTTCTATAATTTGATAATTTTTGGGTTTTTATTTTATTGTAAAATCTCTCCCGCGCATTTTCTTTAAATTCGGTTTGGTTTTCTATAATTTGATAATTTTTGGGTTCTTATTTTATTGTGAAATGTAAAATCTGATCTTGGGCGTTTGAAATTCTTTCAGGTAGAAAGAACTGCTTTGAAATTCTTTCAGTTTTGGCAAGGCTACTTTTTCCAGATCGATGAACGTTTATACGCGCATCGGTAAGTCATCGGATGTATAGACGGATTAGAGATTTTCAGATCGATGAACGTTTATATGCGCATCGGTAAGTCATCGGATGTATAGACGGATTAGAGATTTTCATTTTTATGTTCTTTCTGCCAATAAGTTTATTTTCCTGCTCATTGTTTGCTTTCTCTTGGGTGCCGGTGATTCACATAGGCTTTGGTGTCTCAAGGCTTCACCAAAAATTTCTAGACTAAAATAACCCTCAAACAAAAAAAAACAAAAACCGACACAATATTATACATTAAAAAACTCATGGACATTTTTGTCAGAATACAAAAATATAAAATTTGTTTTATTAACAGAAAAAAGAAAAGAAACAGATAACTCCTCCATTTTAGGAGAGAGAACAACCAATGTGGGGAGAAAATTCTTCAGGATTAGCACGTTTAATTTTCAAACTGCATAGCAGTTTCCATACAGTTTTCAAACTCACACGTCTATCTTCTATTCCCCCATTTTCTGATCAAACTTCTTCCTCACACAATTCCACGTACAACTCTATTCATTCTGTTTTCTAACTGCAGCCTACCACTCCATATTCTCTCCTTCTTTCACTACTATTTCTCTACAGGTTTCAATTCTCACCCATTTGCATGCTAAGAATGTACACAAATCGGTAAGTCTCTCTCCCGCGCATTTTCTTTAAATTCGGTTTGGTTTTCTATAATTTGATAATTTTTGGGTTTTTATTTTATTGTAAAATCTCTCCCGCGCATTTTCTTTAAATTCGGTTTGGTTTTCTATAATTTGATAATTTTTGGGTTCTTATTTTATTGTGAAATGTAAAATCTGATCTTGGGCGTTTGAAATTCTTTTAGGTAAAAAGAACTGCTTTGAAATTCTTTCAGTTTTGGCAAGGCTACTTTTTCCAGATCGATGAACGTTTATACGCGCATCGGTAAGTCATCGGATGTATAGACGGATTAGAGATTTTCAGATCGATGAACGTTTATATGCGCATCGGTAAGTCATCAGATGTATAGACGGATTAGAGATTTTCATTTTTATGTTCTTTCTGCCAATAAGTTTATTTTCCTGCTCATTGTTTGCTTTCTCTTGGGTGCCGGTGATTCACATAGGGTAAGCTCCGGAAAATTACCTCAATTGGATCTGCAAATGGGAGGAATACCTAACAGCAGCAGGTGAAGTTTTCTTTTTATGTGCAGTTTTTAAGTTACTTATGCATTCTTTATTTTTATCTCTTTTGCCCATATTCTGTACATCAATTTTGTTCATTTAGTCTGCATTTTCGGTACTTTTATCTTTTTCCTTCTTCATTTACATGGTTGCACTACTCGAAAATTTTCTCATTTGTTGCTTCGATCTTTGATCATCATCTATTTTTTTATGCATATTTTGTAATGGGTAGTTGGTGGAGGGACGTTGGTCTCTCTTTTGTTTATCCGAGTATTACATTCGATTGTATTGTAGAATGTTAATTATGCTATTTCTTAATTTCTACAGTTATAGACTTTGGTAATGTCATTGCATTTAGGTGCTGAAATGTCCCAAAAAAATAAAATAAAACACCCCGATGATGAATATGTGAGGCTTACCGAAGACAAGAATTGTAGTTTTTTTTGAAGCAGCAGTATAAAACAAATGGTTAGGTTTTATTTGTTTTTAAGGTGTGCTAGCCATTTTAATAAATTTAGAACGTTTTTTCTTTGATTTAGGGCCTATATCACGAAACTTTTAGAGTATTAGTGTTAGGTTTCGTTTAATGATTACATTACTTAATTGTTTTAAATTTTAAACTTTAGTTGTATTGCTGAAAGTTTGATTACTAAATTACTTTGCAGAAACAGAGTTCACAGTAGCTAAGAGGATACTAAGAAGCAAAGACTTACAACATACATATTGACTTAAAATGGTCTTATTCTCTTTTGCTTCTCTTCCATGTTTTGTTGTATGTTTAACCATTATGTTTTCTATTTGTTTTCGTAACTCTTTTTGCTTTTGAAGTTTACTGCTCGGTTAAATATTTGTACCAAATGCTTCATGTTGTTAAGATTGGGTAAATTTAGGGATTCATGATTGGGTCCGTGGTTGAAGCTCAGGAAAATTAGCTCAATCGGATCTGCAAATGGGAGGAATACCTAACAGCAGCAGGTAAAGTTTTATTTTTATGTGCAGTTACTTATGCATTTTTTAAATTTCTACCATTTCCAGAGATTGGTGTGTTATGAAAAGGGATTTGATATGTAAGAACTGAAATTTACCAACCTCCCTTTTTTTAAATGATTTCTGAAGAATGGGTTTGATAGAAAGGAATCTAAGTGCTCTGCAAATATGCTTGCGCCTCTCAAATATTTGCTTTCCCTTGGGTGCCTATGATTCACATAGGGTAAGCTCCGGAAAATTAGCTCAATTGGATCTGCAAATGGGAGGAATACCTAACAGCCACAACTAAAGTTTTCTGTTTATGTGCAGTTTTTAAGTTACTTATGCATTTTTTATTTTAATCTATTTTGCCCATATTCTGTACGTAAATTTTGTTCATTTACCTTTATTAAGAATCATCAAATTGAAATTTCAGTTTTAAGATTTTTGGAGGACTCCAACATATCAAGTATGGAGGGAATTGATAGAAGCGATATGTCAGAGGTTGTTACCTTATCTGCATTATTCCTCTTTTGTACAGATGATATATTTTTTCTTATTTTTCAAAAATAAAATAAAATTCATTCTGTTTAGCAATTTCTCAATGTAGGTTGGCAATGAAGAAGTTGACTTTCGACAAACAAATATTCACAATTTTCAACAGTCAGACCAAAGGTATCGTAGGAGTAATCAACAAGGGCAAAATCATAGGAGCAATCAACAAAGACAAAGACGACAATCTATGAATTCATCACAGCGGGCTCGAATTTCAATACGACGACGTGCCAATTATCAAACCCGCTTGAACTCAATCAATATAGTCCAAAATCAAACGGAAGTAAACCAAGAAAACATAGGATCGACATCTGCGGGTAACTATGATTTTTTTTTTTTTTGTCTCTATTCAATTCGTACGTTGTATTAACATTTTTGTACAAATTATTAAGACAAATATATTAAGATTGAACAAATCAGTGATTCTAAGTTGTCATTGCCTTTTTGTACTATCAATGCAAACATCCATTTAATAATTCTGTTATGTCTATAATAATTTCAATATTTTGGATTGTATATATTTACCATAGTGACCAACGTTTTAACAAGTACTCCAAACAAGAAAAATAAAAAAAAAATAAAAATAAAAATAAACAAAGAAGGAAAGGAATATTATGTAAACTTGGAATAACAGTTCAAGTATAATAGTCAAGAGAAAAATATAAAAATAACATCACATAAAGATATAGTACATCGATACTAAATGGAAAAAATTGTGAAGTTAAAAAAAAACATGCAGCACATAATTACACAGATGCAAAATCAAAGGAAGCAAAAAGCACAACCCAAATCAGAGAAATGAAATCATAAATCAATGATTCAGTGCATGAAATTCACTAAATTTTAGTAAACCCTAGATTCAGAGATATTGGCGTTGCATTCATTTTCATCCGAAAACGGCAAGAAGAAAACCACTCTCATCCAAAAAAAATGTGTTTTTCTTTTCTGTGATCAATTAAAATAAACATTACTATTCATCCAAGGTCTGGCATCCAAAACAATCCACAGTTTTTGCTTTTCTGATCACTAAAAGCTACAGACTTTAAAGAGAAAATAACTCAAAATACAAAACATTCACTTTTTCTTTGTTTTCTTCTTCCTCTGCCACTTATTATGCGACCTAGGCAGTCTCAATCAAACGAAAAGAAAAAAAAACGTAATGTATACCAATGATTCAATTACAAAAACAAAAGGAAAAAAAATACGTATGTAGGTACTTAAATAATATTCTATGCTTACTAATATTTTTCGTGCACCATTACGTTTCTTGGTTTAGAGCAACGAAATGCATATGTTACTGATCAGACACAAAGCCAACGAGAGCAATGGCGGGATCAACAACGTATGAGGCGGAATTCAATGAGTTCAAGCCAAAGACACGAATATTTAGCACGGGGACGATCCAATTATCGTGTTCAACAAATTCAACGCTCAAACATAATGTTATTTGGTGGTGAGGCCGATCAAGTTCAACACCCTAACATAGTGCAATTCGATGAAGGCAGTAGCAATCATGTTGAACGACTAAACATAGTGCCGTTTGGAGAAGGCAGCATCAATCAAGTTCCAAGAACAATGCGCTTAACTCATATAAGGCAAATTGCCCGATCGAATAGGACACGCTTGCCTAGGGATGGACTAATACAAAGTTTTACTAATAATGGTAATCACACAAACTACCATAGTACAACTTTGAAAAAGATAAACATCAATATCATCATTACTGTAAACACTACTTATTACCTTACTTCCATTTCATTTGATTATAACAGAAAATACAACAGCGCAATCGTTCAGTTCGAATACTCCAATGAGTCATTGTTATCTGCCCATCATCAATGAAGGTATCATTTTTTAAATATTAATACCTACAATTTCAACTATGCTCTCTAAATCATGAAACACCTTTAATGTTTCCTTTTTAAGCAGATGCTTTTAATCTCATTAATGAAAATGAGATCCAGCCTAACGAGAACGTACCACATCGACATCATACTATGGGAAGAAGGCCAATTCATAATTGTGCTAGAAACTTTAATGAAAACATGGAAATCCCAAGATTTCACATGCCAAATCCAACCACATGTCCAGATTGTCATGCCCGTTTGTTCTCTCATGAAACATCTGAAATGTGTTGCTTACGTGGAAAGCTTGCTCTACCATTGGCACCGTCCCCTCCTGAAATGACTGAGCTTTTTTGCAACCAATCTGCCGAGGGAAGACATTTTAGGCAGAATATACGAGCTTACAACCACATTTTTGCCTTCACTTCAATGGGAGTTCATGTTTACGAAAACCTAGCAACAGGAAGACGTGGTATTTACACATTTCGTGCTCAAGGTTCCATATATCATAAGATTGGAAGTCTTTTGCCTATTAGAGATAGTAGACCGAGATTCCTACAAATGTATATATATGACACAGCTCATGAAATAGACAATCGAATGAGAGAAAGTGAAGCACTAAACAGAGATGTGGTTGAAAAAATCCAACAAATCTTGAATCAATATAATCCATTTGTGCAAACATTTCACCACCTTGTGCAACGTCAAGATTTGCAAAGTTGTAGATTGATTATCAAAGAGCAGCCCGCGAATCAACGACAATATTGTTTACCGTCTGCATCTCAGGTTGCTGCAATCATAGTAGGTGGTGAAGGATCAGAAAACATTAGAGGTCGAGATATTGTTGTGCAAACTACAGATGGTCAACTTAAGAGTATCAAAGACTGTGTCGGCTACTATGACCCTTTACAATATCCATTGTTGTTACCTTATGGAACATATGGATGGGATGTGAATACTCGAAATAACAACAGCAGAAAAGTGACATGTTGTGACTATTATTCGTATCTTCTTCAGGTAACCTAAGACCTTCATCTCTATGAATACAATATTAATTTTTAAAACTTATATTGTGTTGAACAATGAATTTTATCATTTTAGATCCGTCAACACGACGAATCGCTTCTACTTCGTGGTGGCCGCCTATTGCAACAATATGTAGTTGATAATTACATCAAGATCGAATCACAAAAGCTTAGATGGATGCGTAATAATCAACACACAATTCGATCTGAATTTTATCGAGGACTGCAAGACTCATTAATTGCAGGACAAAATAATGCAGGTATGAAGCTAATCAGTTTATAATAAAACATATATTCTTTAAGTTCATGTTCTGTCATATTAAATGAGACTTATTAAAGGGTTGAAACAAAACAAACATATTTAGACTTATTAACGACCTATAACAAAACAAATACAGGAGACGTCGGTCGTCGTAGGACTATATTACCATCATCTTTTGTTGGTAGTCCCCGAGACATGTATCAAAGGTATCAAGATGCAATGACTTTGGTTCAAAAATATGGAAGACCAGATATTTTCCTAACAATGACATGTAATCCAACTTGGGAAGAAATAAGTGATGAGCTACTACCTGGCCAAACACCACAAGATCGACCAGATTTGCTTACAAGGGTTTTTCGTGCAAAATTTGAAGAGTTGAAGAATGATGTTATAAAAAAAGGTGTTTTAGGCAAAGTTCTTGCATATGTATATGTCATTGAGTTTCAAAAGCGCGGTCTCCCCCATGTTCACATGCTTCTCATGTTAGAAGAAAATGATAAGCTTAATAGTCCAGATGATTATGATCAGGTGGTACGGGCTGAAATACCAAATCCAAATGAAGAGCCTGAATTGTATGGTGCCGTCTTAAGGCATATGATACATGGTCCATGTGGAATACACAATTCACGGTCACCCTGTATGAAACGTGGTAGCTGTAAACGAAATTATCCTAAGCCATTTGCACCAACTACAGTTCAAGGAAATGATTCTTATCCAGTCTATTGTAGAAGAGACAATCATGATCCAATCCCATTAGATCATAATGCATGTATAATGGTGGATAATCGGTGGGTCATTCCGTATAACTCATGGCTACTCCTCAGATATGATTGTCATATTAATGTTGAGATTTGTTGCAGCATTAAGAGTGTTAAGTATCTGTACAAATATGTTTACAAAGGTCCCGACCGAGTAGCTTTTGAAGTCCATCATGAACCTATTCAAGATGAAATAAAGCAGTTTGTTGATGCAAGATGGGTTTGTGCACCTGAAGCTTTATGGAGAATATTCAAATTTGTAACTAATCGACTTTATCCATCGGTGGAACGATTACAAATTCATCTTCCTGAAGGACAAACTATTCTTTTTTACCCTCACCAAAGAGTAGCAGATATTTTGGCAGATGACACTAACTCGATGACTATGCTGACAGAGTTTTTTACCAAGAATACCACTTGCCCGGAAGCCCGACAATACTTATACCGGGAATTCCCTGAACGGTTCAAATGGAGTCAAAGAGATAAACTCTGGAGTGAGAGGATGAATAACCATAAAGTTATTGGCCGGATATATGCAGTCTCGCCGAATGAGGGTGAAAAATTCTACTTACGCATTCTTCTTAATCATGTTAGAGGACCAACATCATTTGAGAATTTAAGAACAGTCAATGACATTGTACAACCAACATTTAAGAAGGCAGTGGAACAACGAGGTTTGCTAGAAGATGATGATAGCATCAGACAGTGTCTCTGTGAAGCCACTAACATTCACATGCCGTCAGCTTTGCGAAGGTTGTTTGTTACCATCTTAGTTTATTGTGAGCCACATGGAGTAAGAAGATTATGGGATGAATTTCATTCATTTATGGTGGAAGATTATTCTGTTTCAAGTACCACAAATAATACTTCTATCTTGAACAAGCTTTTGCAAGACTTGAACGGACTATTAGTGCAACATAGTAAGTCTGTATCTGATTACGATTTACCACAAATAACACAAGATTGTGTTAGAGACAACACAATTCCAAGGATAATACAAGATGAAGTTTCACTTGACATCTCTGAAGCAGACCTCAATGCGGTACAAAATCTAAATGAAGACCAAATGGCAGTGTATAACTCGATTGTGTCTGCTATTGAACAACGAGACAATGCCATATTTTTTGTGGATGGTCCCGGAGGGACAGGAAAGACATACTGATATCGTGCTTTGTTAGCAACCTTAAGGAGTAAGGGTCATATTATATTGGCAACAACAACATCTGGAATTGCAGCAACCATATTGCCAGGTGGAAGGACAACACACTCTAGATTTAAAATTCCCCTCAGTCCAGATGCATCTTCCACATGTTCTATTAGTATCCAGTCAGATTTGGCAGAATTGATAAGAAAAACATCAGCTGTTGTTTGGGATGAAGCACCAATGGCACACAGGTTTGCATTTGAGGCTCTTGATCGAACGTTCAAAGATATAATGGGTGTTGACCTACCATATGGAGGAAAGGTCATAATCTTTGGAGGAGATTTTCGACAAGTTCTTCCAGTTGTTCCAAAAGGTACAAGATCTGAATTGATGCAAGCAAGTATGATTAATGCTTCATTTTGGGAACACGTGAAAATCATTTGTCTTAGGCATAACATGAGATCCATCAATGATCAAGACTTTTCAGATTTCTTACTTCATGTTGGTAATGGGGAACAAGAAACTATGATAGACGACATGATGCAATTACCATCATCTATGGTTATTCCATGGAATGGTGAAGAATCCATTGTCCAATTGGTTAATGAAGTTTTCCCCGATTTGGAATGTCATGTATGTGATGCAAGATACTTGGTGGAAAGAGCAATTATAACACCAAAAAATGAGGATGCTGACAAAATCAATAAAATGATCATCGATAAATTTCCGGGGATTGAACATATCTTATACTCTTTCGATTCAGTTGAGGACGATGTGAGAAATTTGTATCAACAAGAATTCTTGAATTCAATCTCACCTGGTGGAATGCCCCCTCATCAGTTAACTTTGAAAAAAGGTGCCCCGATAATGCTTTTAAGAAATATCGATCCGAAGATGGGGTTGTTCAATGGTACAAGACTGGCTTGCCATGGAGCTTACAATAATCTAATTGATGCCGAAATCTTATCTGGACAATTTGCTGGAACTAGAGTGTTTTTACCAAGAATTTCTTTAAAGACCACAGAAAGTGCAGGACTCCCATTCGAAATGATGAGAAAACAGTTTCCAGTGAAATTGAGTTTTGCACTAACTATAAATAAATCACAAGGGCAGACAATACCAAATGTGGGTATTTATCTACCAGATCACGTATTCAGTCATGGACAATTGTACGTGGCTTTATCAAGAGGAGTTTCAGCGTCTACAACAAAAGTATTGGTAAAGAAAGGAGAGTTACACGGTAACGAAGGAGTCTTCACAAGAAATGTTGTGTACAAAGATATTTTGCTTCCCTCGAATTCAACATAAGGTTACATTCTTTCTTTTAATGTTTAATTCCCTTTTTCAACTTTTAATGCACTTCAATTACAAATAATGCTAATATTTGATTTTAACCAAACGCATTAAATTTTCAACAGGACGGAATGATATGAGTTCATGATATTTTTTGGTGTCATGTGCATCAAGGTCAATTAAATTTCTCGGATTGTTTTTATACTTTTTATTTAACTTTTAGTTGCAACTAAGTTATAAGGATCTTCTCTGTTATTTATTACTTTTTTATTTTTTACATATTCTAGACAAAATACTTTAGATTCCGCCTATATTATTAGAGATGATAATCGCCTTTATTTTATGTTTCTATACTTTGAACCAATCCTCGCATATAAATACATCTAAAATGTGTAAGTTGCATGTAGCGTGCCGTGATTTAAAAAGTGTCTTTCGCACGTGCTTGAGAACACTGTAATAGGCATTGCTGCGTGTGAGAGAGTATCCACGTCAACAACTTCAATTTATTGCTTCCAATTAGGTGCAGTCATCTTCTAGATTTCATACCTCACCTCCAAACTTGGTATCATACTTTCTAAAGCATATACATTGACAACCACAATGGAACAAAACTAACACAATACACATTTAGGGGCGCGTAGCGCCCGTGATGCAAAAATGCCTCTCGCACGCACGTTAGTGCGTGCAGAGAGGCTAGTATATATATGCCCAACAGTTTATTGAAAATGTCATAGTGCTTGTGCAGACCTATTTCCGACCATCTCGGTCACATCTCAATCCGTATAGTAAGACATTGTCCGCTTTGGACTACATCCTCACAGATTTGTTCTTGGGCTTCCACTCAAAACTCGTCTTACAATAGGGAGGTGGACATATATATAATCCACCCCCCTTAGGGTTGTCGGCACACTTTTGGACGGAGAGTGGTTTTGATACCAAATTGTCACATCTCAGTTCCCGCCAGAGAGCACACTTCCGGCTGGAGAGTGGCTCTGATACCAAATTGTCACATCTTAGTCCGTATAGTAAGATATTGTCCGCTTTGGGCCATGACCTCACAGATTTATTCTTGGGCTTTCACCTAAAACGCGTCTTACTATAAGGAGGTGGACATGTACATATAAGGCACATCACCTCACCTCACCTCCCCGGACGATGTGGCATCTTACAATCTCCATACTAGGCATGTTACATTCGTAGCAGAGACCAACGACGAGAGAGACAGAGAGAGTAGAGAAAGAGAGGTGGAGATGGCGAGGAAGAATTGTGAGGTTTTGATACGAGAGTCGATGATCAGGATTGGGATTGGCAATCGCTATAACACCCGAATCCAAATCCCATGTCGTCTTCTTCATCATCACCGTACGGTCCAAACCCTAGCCCCCCCCCCCCAACAAAATTCAATGCCAACAACCACAGCAGCAGCATTTGCCATTCCTTCCTCCAACGCATCCGCCTCCTCCTTGGCCTCACTCCTAGCCAGGGTCTCCGCCTCCGGTGCACTCTCGGCCTTGGCTGTAGGCCCAGGCTCAAGTAAGTACCCCTCTCGCTCGCTCTTTCTCTCTCTATTCCTGTTTTTATCATCTATCTGTCTCTGACTGCGCTGCCGGCTGTTTTGACAGAACTTCGGTTTCCGAGTCCCCAAGTCATGATGTTGACGGAAAAGAAAGAATATAAGAGAGCAATTAAAGAAGTTAAAGCTAAACAACTGCAGATTACTACCCAGTATTGCATTGAAACAACTGCAGGTTACTACCTAGTATTGCATTGGATTGAACACAACATGTATGATTTGGACTAGTTAGTTAATTACATTAAAATGAGAAAAACAATCAAGGAAAAATGCTCCATAATCTGATCAGAATTGCTTCACAATTTCCACCCGCAAGTGCATATTCAGTTCAGTTGGAACTCGGATATTCCTCCCTTGCTGGCTGGCTTTCCAAAAGGACCACCTTTGCATCTAACATGAACAAAAAACTTGGACTGTCAGTAACAATTCCTTTTCTTTTACTCTCTCAAGATTATATTTGTAACCACTGGAAAATAGAGCTCGAAAAGGATCGCAATTTCTTGCATAACTCATTTTTCTTACGGCAAACTCTACAGTGCCCATCCACTCAGTACTACGGTCTGGTGGTATTTCTCTACACTTGTAAGCGAGAGGTTTTAGGTTCAAATCTCGTATATGACGAATTCGATATCAAATCAGGTTGCCCATTATATCGCTTAGCCAAACTCCCCGTTTCTTTAGTGTAAAATATATCATTGTAAACTTTGCGGCGCCCGAAATTATGTTCTTTTTTTTGTTTTTTCCTCGAGCTAGAGTTGAGTGTTTGAGTCTTCAACATCATTTAGGATACACGAAGAAGAAGAAAACTTTCAAATCAAACGAATAGAGTTATAACCGTAGCTTAATTTTTCTTACAACGCAACATGTATACTATAGAGTCATACACAACTTGTATTGAGCCAATTACACAATTATTACTGTACTACTTGAGTTGAATATAACTGTGAGTTTGAAGGAGAGTAGATGCATATCTGAAGCTTATTTGAAAAAATATTTGAAGTGTTTTTTAAACCTAAAATTAATTTCACCTAAACACTTTCAATCATTTTAAAAGTACTTACAAACGAACTAGTAAACACACTAAATTATCAATTACTTAACTATTTTATTTGTTTTATAAAATATCACAGGATATAACTGTGACACAGACACTGTTTCCTTTGTTTTTCATTTTTTGTTTGGAAAAGGATTATCGTTGGATTTTTTCCTGAGAACCTACGAATTTCGTAATCGTGATCGTGTATCGTATGATTAATTTTAAATTTTAAAATAATTTCTAATTATACAATGTATAATGAATGGTTACGATCATAAAATCCATAGAATCCCGAGGCTCCTCCTTTCCCTTTTTGTGTTTAGCTTTGAAAACAGGTATCACGGGTTCTGCCCGTTTGCAGACCCTAATTAAAACTTGAAAAGCAAAAGTAGACAATACTTGAGAGTACCACCGCCGCCTCCTCCTCCTCCGCCTCCTCCTCCTAGGAGAGGAGAGAGACGCCTTGTACTTTCCTTTCCTTGTTATAGCAAACCAGTCAAATCCAATCCACTCGGAAGCAGTCAGACTTTCTGATCCTGTCATCGTTAGCAAATTTATCACAAATCAAATCACACCTCTGGTCTCCCAACAACTCCCAGATTTACCATGTCCTCTGCAACAAATTCTGATTTCTTCAGATCTACTTTTGGTTGTGGTTTTCAATCTTCAATTTTCTCAAAAGATGTGAATTTTGCCCAATATTCATCACCAAAGTCAAGAAAATTCTACAATTCTGGGGGCTAGGTACAATATTATTATTATTTTCTTTATGTTTTTTATTTTATTTTCTCCTTTTGCATCTTTATATTGAATTGTATTGTATTGCATTGTATTGGTTTGATAGGTGGATGCATCGATTGCTGATGATGATTATGGAGAAAAGAAGAAAAGGAAAAACAAGCACATCCACCCTTGTTATTGGGGTAAACATTCGCTCACAGTTCATATTATTATTATTGCAATTTTTTATTTGTTTGTTATTCTTCATTTTTAGGTGTATATAAATCGTATTGTAGCAGCGATGCTGCTAGAATTTTATTGCTGCCATGCCAAAATTTGAGAAATATGACATGAATATTGTACCACAGTAGATATTCAAGAATTCGCATATGAAATTTTAATGAATTTGAAAAAAATTGTCTTGAAAAGTAATCTTTTCGAATTTTGTTAGTGCTAAATAAGTATTAAGTTTTTCGTATGCTTAATAATAGACATACATTTGAGCAACTTCATTCCTAAAAATGCGTTGGCACCAAGCCCATTTAATTCACTCAAATGAATAGTGATTAACCACAATGAACAGTAATTGGCCAAATGCATATTCACTCCTAAAAAATGTGCTGGCACAAAGTCTAAAAAATATGCTGGCACTCAACCCATTTAAAATATTATTATTTTTTATAAAATAAAAAAAAAATTAGTTTTAATTTTGGATAGGATTTGTAACCAATCTTGTCATGCCACGTGTCATTATTCGAAATTATTATTGTGGATAAATTTCGATAAGATTTTCAATCAATCCCAACGCATCATGTGTCACTATCTGTTTACAATAATTTAGTCAAGGTTTCGATAGATTTTCAACCAATCATGTAGTGCCACGTGACATTGTCCAGAACCTCATCCTTTCTTTTTTTGTCCATATAAACCTTACATCCATCATCATTCATACACCAAACTCAATCCTTCTTTTGTAGCTCATAATCATTATTCATCGTTTTTAAATCTTGAGTTCTTACAATGTCTTCTTCGAGGAGATTGTATGAGTAACAAAAAAAATTGTTGGCACAACATGAAGAATTGCTCAATCTCGTGGAAGGTGGAGATGAGACTTTTGCAATGGAAGATGATGAAGATGATGAACATAGAAGGCAGAGAGCCTCACATTTTTGTCGTGTCATGGAAGCTGTGGGTTAGATATCCAAACCTTAGGATCCTCACATCTTAGTCATAGCGGTCAGTTTTTGTTATGTACTATTTATGTTTAATTTTAAATAAAAAAATTCAAAATAAACGGTTAGGAATGTGAGGATCCTAGGATTCCCACAACTTAAATTCGGATGAAATTCAAATTCAAAAATTTGTACCTTACACTCCCCAACAAACCCTAGCTAGGTAGAAAAATTCATTTCTTAGATACCACTTTTTACATTTCTCCATATTAAAGTATATCATATATACTAAAACCCGTAGGGGTTGGGTACTGTGGATGACCAGTGTCCGGACGGAACTGCCCTCGCTTCTCTGTTTTCTTTCCGTTTGTGTACCTGTTTTCCACGAGGCGCTCATTTTATTCTCTCGACTTCGAGAGTCATCTTGAGTTAGGGTTTTGTTCCTTCGTTGCTTTTCTTGATTTCGGCTTTTGCTCTTTTCGTTTTGGCTGTTCTTTCTTCCAATCCTCTGTTCCTGTGATAACCGTGCTTTCTTTCGCGGAAAGGGTTGCTGATTTTCGTGGTTTAAGGGATTTTCTCTCTTTCACTTTCTCCGTTTTGCTGAAAAACCACCCAACCAATAAACGCTTTCGATTTGATTCGAAGAAAAATTTTACCCATAAAGGATAGCATTTCTTGGTGAGTTCTTCGGATCTTACATCTGGGGTTTTCTTTTGTTCAAATATGGGGTTTTGTGATCGTGGTTTTCCTTTTCTTTTTTCTTTTTAAATTTTTTTTTTTTATTTGAGATTTTGTTTGGGTTCTCTTTTTTCAGATGAGTTTTGCATCCCTGTAAACCTAGATTTGTCGGCGCTATGTGGAAGGTCATAAAATTGGTTTCCAAGGTTTTTTTTCTTCCTGATTTTGCGATTGCTGATGCAAGGGTTTCAGAGTATTTCCCAATCTCTCCTTACATAGGTAACTAAATCTCACTTCTTCTCAAGTACCCAGAAGTCAAATATTTAATTTTTCACTGTACTTAATCTCTTTTAGCAACCTCCAGTTGTCCTCTGCTTTTCTCACTCTCCAATGTTCATCAACACCATCAGGTCTCTCTCTACCTCTACCTCTACCTCTCTCTTTCTCTCTCTATATCTCTGATATGTTTATACATGTCGTTGTGTATCTATATATCAGGTTGAAAAAATTATTAATATGATTAATTTTGTTAGGGAAATTATTTGTTTTGGTGATGGATTTGTGGGTTTTAATCGTGTTTTGGATATACTAACAATTTTGTTTTGCAGTAAATTGCAATGGGTTGTCCACGGTTTGCCTGGTAAAACCAGATTTTGTGAGTCTATGATTTTTCAGGAGTTGCAGCGTTGTTAGTAAGGTTTGAGCATTTTCATCACATTAGCTATTCCGTTCATCAGTCCAATATGTTCTTATCCCTTGCACTCCGTTGTTTATGTTTGGAATTTGTGATTAGAAATTGGAGAATTAACTTCTTGATAATTGCATGTGTTTATGCCCCCTCATGATATCATGAGATCTAATGAGATTGTTTGCGATCTGGTTAAATACATAGTAATAAGGACAATAGTTCATATTTTTAAAGAAGGTTAATGGTTCTGGGTTTTTACATTTATTGTTAACTATAATTGTTATGGTTGATTATCATTCTTTTAGTCTTACTGGGTTTCTTTGTTCAATGGTTTGGTCCATCTTATTAAGTTTCTCACCAGAGATCTCTTCTAGCACTGCTCTTCTCTTGGACCAGGTACAACTTCTTTGACTTTCTGTTTGTTTCCGAGAAAATTTAGAGCTCGAAAGTGTGTAGAACTGTAGAAGTAAAAAAAGTCTCAATCTTTCTATTGTCCTGTACAAAAAGAAATTGAATTTGGAATTTGTGTTTTTGGCATACCCTTTACTAGAATTTTGTGATTTGGGAATTGTAGAAGTTGGTGGCGATTCAAAACCCATTAACTTGGATGAGAATTAAGAGTAATTTGAAACCAGACATCAAGGAATTGCAAGTGGGTAATGATAATGATAATGGTGAGGATAATGATGATGACACAAATCCGCTATTTTGCATATGGTTTTGAAGATTGATTTTTTTTTTTTTTCATTTTGATTTTTCTTTTTTGTATTTTTTAGCAGATGTTGTTTTGGTTTTTAATTCCTTATCATCGCTACTACAAAAAAGGTTAGTTTTGTTTTCTACATTTAAAGAGTGTTTAAAGAAAAGTTGCATGTAATTGATTTTCTGCTATAATGTTTTGAAATTCCTTATTTATATTGTTCTAGATATTCTTGGTTTGCATTTATTTTACGTGATGGTATTAGAAAAAAATAAAGGCGCAATGATGAAAAAATTTGTCTAAGTCAAAACAAGCGATAAAGAATCCTTACACCATTGAGCCATTACTGAAATAAATTTGATACCAATTTTATGTGTACACAGTTGAATGTGAAACAGTGTAATTAAATGTGAAACAGTATGTTTTCAGTACCTTGGTATATGGTACAAGATTGGGGGTAATGACACCAATAAAAACTGGTCAAATTTGTCATTGTGCATAGATTCAAATTTGTAGTACTATGGATTCAAATTTGTCATTGTGCATTTTTTATTTTTCTGCACAGTTGGATGATTAAGTTTTGTGCAAAGTGAATCATTCGAATGCTCAGAATGTATTATATTTGTAAATTCCAGCTAATGCTGCTCTAACATGATACAAGAGACCAACACTTTCATCCATATGTAAGTTCCTCTAATAAGTGCTTTGCACAAATGCTTTACAAATTTCAGCTTTTATCTTCTGATTATTTTGTGCAGGGGTTTTTATTACTTTTTCTTTGATTGGAAATTTGGTGGTTTCTTAAGATACAATGATATCAAATTAGATTTTTCTAATTTTCTGATTTTGGTGTTTTGCAGGGAGTGCTGATATACTGATATCTGAGATTTTTTATCTTTGAAATAGGTAAATGCTATTTTTAATGTTTCAGTTCTGGCATGTTTGGTTCTTTGAATTCTGTAGTTTGCTTGCTTCTTCGTTGCTTCGTGATTTTCATTTTTCAGTGTAATTAAATTCTTGAATTTTTCATATTGAACTAATGAAGTTCATTCTGAATTTCCAATTCAACATTACAACATTATAAAATTGTTTTGCAAAGAAATTGTGTGTTCTTCATGTGCATTCTTCATTGTTTGTACTTTGAATTCAAGATAATGCAGTATATTTTCAACAGTAACCAATGATATATTCTCAGATAATCGTGGCAGGATGCCCATGATGTGTTATTTAGGGGACTTTGAGTGGAATAATTTTGTGATGGTTATTATTTGAAACATTGATGTTTTTCAGTTATTTGACTACCTTTACATCTCTTTCATTTAAATACTTGATTGGGAGCTTAATCTTTCTTTTGGTATTTGTTATGTTTTCTTTTGTTGGCTGTATTTTGTATCTCATTAACAACAGTAAGCAAGTGAAAGCTATAAGTTATCTATTACCGGTATCCATTTTAAAAAATCATATGTGGTAGATGTTATTATTTGAGATTTCTTATTATTGTAGTGATGTTGTGTTAACTTTTCTTTTGCAATTTGATACTTTTCTATTTACACATTTCTTTACATGCAATTTAATCTGCATATTTGTGATTTCGTAAATTGATAAAATTGATATTTTGATTCTACAACTTTGTAATTGAATGAAAATGGTTTCAGCTCTGCGATTTGCCAGCTTTTAATCCAACAAGAAAGATGAAGGTTCGTGCCTATTGAGTGTGGAGGAGTTAAAGTAGGTGAGTTCGAAAAATGTAAGAATGCAGGAATGTAAGTAAAGATTAATCTTTTTCACATGCACATCATCTTTTGTATATAGATTGTATCAATCAAATCTTTCGTATATAAAGATTTATTCAGCATTTTGTCATACAATCTTTTTATATCTTTGAAACAAATTTTTCACACAATTTGTGATCCCGCAGCAACGCGCGCGCAAAACTATCTAGTATATACTAAATGCCTAACTTTCTGTTTAATTCCCTCTGTGTCCTTTTTACTGTTCCTTCGCCAGTGTTCTTCCGTTTTTGCCCCTCAGCTGCTCTTCAAGTCTTGCTTTTTTCGTGTTTTCCACAGTAAAATGACGGTTTTGGCCATGGTTTCCGCATGGTTTCCAGTAGAAATCTCTCGACTTCTGCCGAAAACACTCGAAACACAGAATTCTCAGCTGCTCTGCAACGGGTTGGCGGTTTCAATCATGCGTCCTACACTCCGCCTTGCGATCTCTTCCATCTCTGCTTCCTGTTCCTTTCCATCTCTCCTTTGTGATCCCTTCGATATCTGCTTCCTCATCTTTTTGGTCTCTGCTTTGCGATCTCCTTGCCGCCTAATCGTGCAACCAATTTCTCTAGCCTTCAACAGGTAATTAAATCTCACTTCTTCTCAACTACCCAGGAGCCAAATATTTGATTTTTCGCTGTGGTTTGTTATTTTACCGAATTTGGTTGTTGATATTTCGTATTTTTTATCGTTCATTTGTGTTCTATTGGGATTGTATTTTGCTAGAATTTCATTTGGCTGCGTAACTGATTGGCTTAAAATTTTGTGAGATTAAATATTTCTTGAATTTGATCATTAGATTTCCCTTTTTTTTTTTCTTTTTTTTTTTTTTTGGAAGTTGACGTGCTTTCCCATTCATCGCCAAAACAAACCCGTGCTTCCTCCCTCTTCGTCTTCTCCTCCAGCAATTTGCGCCCTTAGTTCTCAATATGATTCACAGTAAAAACCCAGAAACTTAGAGGTACGAAAAGTTCAATTTTTTTTGTGTTTTTGATTTATTTTCAGTGTTAATTTCTGATTAAATTATTATTTGTGATAAACCCACTTAGAATCTGATATGGGTTTTTCTTGGATTCCAGAGTAAAAACGTTGAAACTTAAAGGTATGAAATTTTTTATAATTTTCTGGTGCACCTGTGATTAAAGAGAACCTAATTTGATTTTACCCACAAGTGCAGATCTTACCCCGCAGTGCTCAATCTAGAGAATTGGTACTCATAATCAATAAGATTCATACGGCTTATTGGTATCAATTTTGGTTGCAGCAATGCTATTCTTGCTGAAGACCTGCCATGTAAGTGATTTAGTTTTTGCTTTTCGAATTTCTACTTTTCATGCATAATTATGAATATGTGGATGATTTGTGGGTAATATTTTCTACTTAATCTCCAATTCAAAGAAAAGGATATTGAATTGTATTATCATTTTAGTTAAAATGTGTTACCATTTTAGTTAAATATATCCCTAATTGATCTGACTAACCACGAAAAAAGGATTATCATACAAAATGTCTGCAAATAGATCGAATACTATTAATGAAAATTAATCCTTAATGCTTCCATCTGACTACATGATAGTATTTTGTGGCTAAACATAGTTTTTACTCGATCAAATATTTGCCAACTTACATTGACAAATTCATTCTCCGTCATTTGAACATCAAAAGCCAAATCACACATGAATCCCCAAACTTTAGCTTTACCATTACTAATCCTCTTGCTTGGGAATTTAAAAAAAAAATCATAAGCAAACATGAATCTTATTATATAAGGACCTTCCAAATTTTATCAAGTGTTACATAAAGTAATATATTTTGTGTGCAGAAATTCAAAACGCGCAGAGATCTCGAGTCAAAAACAGAGGTACCCATCCCTTTTTGTTTGATTTTTGCTTTGTTTTATCTCTGTTTTCATTTTTGGGTAGGATTTTGTGCTTTATAATTGGGTTTAATGTGAAATTTTTGAAGGAGCTAAATCTCATTCAGTTCTGTTTGATTGATTGTCTATCTATGATTTGTTCTGTTATGCTTGGTAGGTTTAAATTGAATTGGATTTATATTTGATTTCGAGTTGATTAATTTTATTTTTTAGTTGTAAATCATATTAGTTGCAGATCATGAAACAATTTCATCTTTGGTTTAAGAGAATAGGCTTGATTCAATGAGATGAGTTATAGCCATCTGAGATAGGCAAGAGTGTTTGCATTATTTAGAAAAAAATTAGGAGCTACAAAACTATGCTTTAAATTTGAGTTTGTGATTACTATTTTTGTTCTTTATCTTACTAAGATTTTGGTAAATTTTCAGCAACTCTTGCACAGCGAAATGACTCCCACCAGCCAACAAACGCAACTGCTGCAATTTCAATTGCAGTTCTTGAAGAAAGGTAAGCCTATGTTCTGTACAAAGTCTTGGATTTTTTTATATGGGGTTTTATTTTTTTGTGTTTTATTTTTTTCTCTTGAGAATATTAATATTGTTGAGTTATTAAATTCAACTATTGCATAGGTTAAATTTTGCTTCAAATTGTAGTAATTGTCATACAACTTTATATTTTTGTATAGAATTGCAGACGGTTTGAATTTTGGATGAGAGTTTAGAATATTTGTAAGTTGGTTCTGTTGTGGGATCTCCATGTAGCAAATTTATCCTACTTTGTATTTCTAAAATCGTAGGTTAGTTTGTCTACTGTAGCTATATTATTCTTCCATGTTTTTCAGATCATGGAGTGAGTTTCTCATGCTGAGATTGTAACCCAATCAATAAGTAAGTGAAACACAGAAGTTCTATGTCTCATGTTAGTTTTGATCCATTTCTAAAAATCCTATGCATGGTACAAGAAAAACATTTCTTTGCTGCAAAGAAGAGTGAAGTACTGAACAACAATGTTAAAAGGTGGGACCTAGAAAACAAGATATTTGCAAAAAACAAAAAAAAACAAAAAAAAAAAGGGAAATCTAATGATCAAATTCAAGAAATATTTAATCTCACAAAATTTTAAGCCAATCAGTTACGCAGCCAAATCAAATTCTATGAAATTCTAGCAAAATACAACCCCAATAGAACACAAATGAACGATAAAAAATACGAATTATCAACAACCAAATTCGCTAAAATAACAAACCGTAGCAAAAAATCAAATATTTGGCAACGAATCAGATAATTTTTTACTGTGTATTATACTACATGGATGTAAATAAGATAATTTTTTCATATCAATTGTTCTTTATAGAACATAGGGATGTAAATAGATTTTGATATGGAACTGGAAAGAAGAATACCAAATGAAGCACTGATTTGTTGAGATATTTATTTTTGCTTGGAAAAAAATTGAGATATTGTGGATTATTACTGACATATATAAAACTATAAGCTTTTGATATTGGGAGACAAAACCCACAAATTCAAATCGACAAAAAATAAATAAAAAATTTAACAGACTTAAAGATCAAACTCCAAAAGGGTATTAAAAACAAGGCTTATTTGATCCATTGAGTGTGAAAGTTTTGAGCTTTGAAGAAGCAGAGGAGAGTTGCCAGTCCATCTTCAAGTAAGCTTGGCAGCCACAGATCAGGATGTGGAGAGGATGGAGAAAATTATCCTGCTGATTAAGAAGAGTCACAACAGTAGTAGAATCCACCTCCACCTCAACAGATCTAAAACCTCTCATCCAAGCCAAGCGAAATCCAAAACATAAAAAGGCAATGCATGGATTTCGCGGAGCTAGAGAAAGATACTGCCTCTAGAGATGAGTGGTTACTGATGTGTAGAAAACAAAATGTTTTCTCGCAGATGATATTAATCAAAGATGACATACATTATGGTCAAATAAACTCGGGTTGGTTGAATAAATCACTCATGGAGTTTGTTTTGCAAAAACTGTATTAATTTTGTTTTCACTACATAGTTAATAGTTCTCTTCAAATACAGTTTTATCAAATTCGATTTTTCTCATTTTCAGATTTTCTGCAGACCACATTTTTTCCCTTTGCAACATTTTTTGTCTTTGAAAAAGGTATGTTATGTTTTTAACGTTTTGGGTTTTACATGTTACATCGACTTTTATTGTCTGCCTCCTTCAGCATTACTTACATTCATTTTCCAGTATTGGCTGATAAAAATTTATAAAATAGTTAAGACTTTAACTAGAAAGTTAAAAGTTTTAGTCATATGTTCTGTGTCATTCCAATTCAAAGATTGGAAAATGACTGAAATAATATTTTCTTCCTTCTGTTTTTTCAAATTTCCTTTTGGTCCAATTTTATATTTCATTTCTTTGTGACTTCTTGCAGAACTTGGAATCAGCTTTTCACATAACATGGATGATGAATGTAAGAAACTCATACACAGAATAACTCCACCAAGGTATATGCAAATTAAAATCATAACTTGCGTCAATATAGAAATATAAATTATTTTTTATTGCACAACTTTGACATAATAATTTGTCTCATAATTTAAAATATTGTACAGATTTTAGCTACTTGGAAATCGACGACTAATATCACTTCCAAGAAGGCAAGATCAACATATGGCATGTCACAGCAGTATATTTTTCACAAACAGATGGTAAAATTGTACACATCACATTAGGCAAGTTTCAATCTTTTTTACTTCCATTTTAACACATTTCTAATTAACATTTTGTTCTAAATTTTGATTAAACTTCATTTAAATGTTTGATTTGAGAATTTCACAAGTCAAATTACCACCTCTCTCTCTCTTTCTCTCTCCACGCTCCCAAACTCAATTTTGATTTTTTTTTAATCATTGCCTAATTGTCTTTGTTACGTTTTGCAGTTGTATTCACAACTATCCAAGACACTCTGGAATTTATTACAACAAAAGGTCAAATTTTCCTTCCTTGGAAACTCCTCAAGCTAGGAACAAGTCTGGTATCCAAGCTTTACATTCAACTTTATTTAGCATGTAGCAAGCTTTGTTTGACTGGTATACTCTCAATACTGCATTTGTAAGTTATGCAGTTATCATTAGTCCAACTTTTTGAATGAACAATTATCTTCTTCTTTGCACTTTGAAGGAATAGATTTTTCTCTTGGTATCCGTTCATGATAATACATATAAATTGCATTGCCATTCGTAGTTCTCTGTTCTCTCTCAACATTATTTATGAAAATTGAAGCTATAAAATATCTCATATAATTTTAAATCCCGCAGCACCGCGCGGGTACAAATTTCTAGTATTAACTATTTCATATACACTTGTTTTTTATTTTTTTTATTTTCCCTCCTTTGTACCCTTTTCTTTTACTCCATTCATTAACTCTGTATGTGTGTGTTGTTACGTAGAGAGGCTATGGATGGACGACGATCCAATCTTGGACCGCTTCAGCGTGACAAGTGAAAGCTAAGTAACAAAACTCCTTTCCTACACAATACTCCTTCTTTTAGAGGGGCTTCTAGTTTTATGCTCCTAGACTAAGGGCTACTTTGATATTACTATGTTTTTAAGACACTCTGCTTGCAGAGGAGGACCTCGGAACTCCGAGTGTTAAGAACCATATTGTTGGGCCTATTTGCTCTCTTTCAGCCCATACTTGTTAGTTCTCAACTTGCTTTGTTGCTCAAGGCCCAGGCTATTAGGACGACACACGATGGCTGCGTTTTATTCTTCTAGCTAGGGTTTTCCCTTCCAGCTGAATATAAGTAAATGTGGCTGTGCTCTGTTAAAGGGGATCTGATGAATGAAATGAACCTTCTTTCCTTTTAAATCTCAATTCTCTTCCCTTCCTCTTACATTTCCTGCACTGTTCTATTTAATTTCCCCGATTCCATCTGCCTGAACCGATTGGGCGTACCGCCGAGTCCTTAGTGTATCTTTTTCTTTCGCTTGCTCCTAGTCTCTCATCAAATCGACAACCAAAGTTGATTGGATTCAAACTAGAAAGGTATGAGTATTTTTAATTTTTCTGAATTAATTTATTTGTTTGCTGTCATTTGATGAATTGGGATGCTCTTTAGTGAATTAATTATTACTCACAAATTTCTGGTTTGTTTTCTTTATATTTGAGGTCAATTTCTGATTTCAGCACGAAGGACGCTTGCTTCATGGTTTACTATGTTACTTGGGTCTTTGCAATTTGTATTATATTCCAATAGTAATTTTTTCGAGTCCAGGTTTTTGTTACTAGTTTAACATTTTCTTTCTAGCTCTCCATACTAAATTTGAGAGAAATGGGTAGGGGAAGATTGAGAGTGCTTGATGTCTCTGAATTCATGCATGATTTATTTCTGATCATGCTTTTTTGTTGTTGCTGCCATTGTGGATTGGCTTGTTTTCTATAAGTTTTTTTGTTTCAAAATTTTTAATTGCTTTACACAAGCTGGACCGACAGATCAGTACATACCATTATCAGTACTTGGAGGAGGGATTGTTGGGTTGGGTTAGGTTAGTACATGAATCAGTGTAGGGTTGATTATGGGCGTGTGTGTGTAGGGATGATTATGGGCCTGTGGGATTGTTGCTTGTATTTATAATTGTTTTCGGTTGCATTATTCTGTGTTCTCGCACTAACCTTTCGGAAGTGTTGAGTTCAATTATTTCCAAATTGTGGTTATAGTTGGCATTATTGTTTTTGAAATGGTAGTGCAATAACTTTCACGTGTTTGAAAGATAAGCTTTTGGGGAAATAAACAAAATATAATTTGGTAACTTCTTTTACTTGAATTAAAACTTGGCATGAGTTGTTAAATTTCTCTAAGTAGATACATGAATTTTGTGGTTTCCAAGCTCTTATTGTTTTGTTTATAATAATTCTAGAACTTATCACTCTTACTGTTTCATTTCTTATTGAGGACGACGATGATAACTAGACATTTTTTTCACGGTGGTTTAAGAATGTAGTCTATTACTTGAAAAATATGAGCATTTCTTTTCTTCTGAAAGTCCTTGTTGATGTGTGTGTTTCTGATCTTGCTTCTTTTTCTTGGTGCCATTGTGGAATTGGTTGGTTTCCGTTAGTTTTTCTGTTTCAAAATTTTTAATTGCACATTTTCTTCCTTACCATGCATACTCACTCAGTAGTTTTGAATAACAACCTAGATGCTCGCTCACCACACTCAAAGAAAGGATTTTGTGAGTTGCAAGAAAGGGATGAGATAAGGGGAACTTTTATAGCTGAGATGTCCATCAGCCTTATTTACCAAATGTGGTAGTGGATGATGCCATCACTTTAAGACAAGGGCTTTTTAACTAAAAAAAATTGAGTCTTGTGAGCTTAGCTCCATGTCGGTGTTGCATAGGATTATTGACAAAGCTAGAAAGTAGACCTACACCATGATTAGAAGCGGGTTTTGTTACCAAATTGTATTCATTTGTTTTTATTTGTCTCATGTCTCATAATTGAGTTCTCTTTGGTATTTTTGGTATTCCGGAGTGCACATACATTCATTAATTCTTTTAAGCGACATGGCTATTGCTTAGTGACTGATTGATTTGGCTTTTGCCAAAATTTCTTTTATGGGAAATTGAGAGGCAACAGGAGTTTTTGGGGTGTTAAATTTGAGAGAAATGGGTAGGGGAAGATTAAGAGTGCTTGTATGTCTCTGAATTCATTCATGTTTTGTTTCTAATCATGCTTTGTTGTTGTTGCTGCCATTGTGGATTGGTTGGTTTCCGTAAGTTTTTCGGTTTCAAAATTTTTAATTGCTTTGCACAAGCTGGACTGACAGATAAGAGTACATACCATTATTAGTACTAGGAGGAGGGATTGTTGTGTTATGTTAGTACATGAATTGGTGTAGGGTTGTTTATGGGCTTGTGGTATTGTTGCTTGTACTGATAATTGTTTTCGGTTGCATTGTTATGTGTTCTCGCACTAACCTTCGGAAGTGTTGAGTTCAATTATTTCCAAATGGTGTTTGTAGTTGGCATTATTGTTTTGGAAATGGTAGTAGAATAACTTTCACGTGTTTGAACGATAAGCTTTTGGGGAATAAACAGAATATAATTTGGTAACTTCTTTTAGTTGAATTAAAACTTGGCCTGGGTTGTTAAATTTCTCCATGTAGATACATGGATTTTGTGTTTTTGCAAGCTCTTTTTGTTTTGTTCATAATTGTTCTAGAACTTATCACTCCTACTGTTTCATTTCTTGCTGAGGAAGGAGATGATAACTACACTTTTTTCACGGTAGTTTAGTAATGTAGTCTATTACTTGAAAAATATGAATGTTTCTTTCTCTTTTGAAAGTCCTTGTTAATGCAGGATGCAAGCAAATTTTTAAATAGTAGCTGTAGGGGTAAACTTCCAGTGGGTAAACTTCAAGGGGGTAAATTTAGTGTGAATAGTGGAAATAATCGTGAGGCAACTGGTACAGTTGATGGGCTTTGCTTGACACACTATATGTACACACCTCGCATTCCACATGTCACTAGTGGAATGTTAGACGGTCACCTCGTTTCCTTGCATGAAGTTGATGAGATCAAGTTGATGGAATGGTATGCACAGTCGTGCGAACTTAGAAGTCATCATATTTTAAGTGCTGATGTCAAAGTAAGGGACGAAAAGGGTCGTGTGTTCTTGTTGACAACTTGAGTAGACGGTTGGTTAAAATCATGGGTTAAGTGTAACCCATGTTTTAATGCAAGATATCCCTATTTTCCATTTTCGAACTTGTTACTGTTTGTGAGGTAAATTTCGAGAATTAACATACTTAGGATAAGGCTTTCTTTGTTGTTGTTGTTGCATCTTATATTGTTGTATCATGTTAGGGATATCTTGTACGGTGATGTCCAGCTGCAGACAAAGAGTGATCATTTAAATATTAATCTTGACACGATTTTTTTAGTGTCTTTTGGCGGGCAATATAGAGCTATGTTCTTGCATATGCTAGTAGCTACAAGTCGGGAGGCTAAATTGGATTCCCAAGCATTTGCTCTATATCGCCCGCCAAAAGACACTAAAAAAATCAGGTCTAGATTGATATTAGAATGATTCCTCTTTGTCTACAGCTAGACATCCCTCATACCACACAAGATATCTCTAACATGATACAACAACATAACATCATACAACAACAATAAAAAAGAAAGCATCATCCTAAGTATGTCAAGTCTCGAAATTTACCTCACTAACAATAACAAGTTCGGAAATGGAAGATGGGGATATCTTGCATTAAAACATGGGTTACACTTAACCCATGATTTTAACCAACCGTCTGCTCGGGTTGTCAACAAGAACACGCGACCCTTTTCGTCCTTTACTTTGACATCAGCACTTCAAATATGATGATTTCTGAGTTCGCACGACTGTGCATACCATTCCATCGACTTGCTCTCATCAACTTCATGCAAGGAAACGGGGTGACCGTCTAACATTCCACTAGTGACATGTGGAATGCGAAGTGTGTACATATAGTGTGTCAAGCAAAGCCCATCAACTGTACCAGTTGCCTCACGATTATTTCCACCATGCACACTAAATTTATCCCCTTCAAGTTTACCCTGCAGCTATTGTTTAAAAATTTGGTGTAAAACCTTGCTTGCATTAACAAGTACTTTCAGAAGAGAAGAAAATTCATATTTTTCAAGTAATAGACTACATTCCTAAACCATCGTGAAAAAAAGTGTCTAGTTATCATCCCCCTCAGCAAGAAATGAAACAGGAGTGATAAGTTCTAGAACTATTATGAACAAAATCCATGTATCTACAGGGAGAAATTTAACAACTAGCCAAGTTTTAATTTCAAGTAAAAGAACTTAGCAAATTATGTTTATTTCCCCAAAAGCTTATTGTTCAAACACGTGAAAGTGAAGGCAAGGAAGAATTGTGGGGTTTTGATACGAGAGACGATGATTGCGATTGGCAATCGCTATAACCCCCAATCCCAGGTCTTCTTCATCATCACCCTACGGTCCAAACCCTAGCTCCCCAAATTCAATGCCAACAACCGGCAGCATTTGCCATTCCTTCCTCCAACGCATCCGCCTCACTCCCAGCCAGGGTCTCGGCCTTATCAAGTGAGTACCCCCTCCCGCTCTTTCTCTTCCTGTTTTTTATCATCTATCTGCCACTGACTGCGCTGCCGGCTGTTTCTACAGAACTTCTGTTTCTGAGTCCCCAAGACATGATCATGTTGACCCGAAAAGAAGGAATATAAGAGAGCAATTAAACAAGTTAAAGGTAAACAACTGCAGATTACTACCTAGTATTGCTTTGGACTAGTTAGTTAATTACATTAAAATGAGAAAAAATGATCCATAATCTGATCAGAATTGCTTCCTAATTCCCACCTGCAAGTGCATATTCAGTTAAGTTGGAACTCGGATATTCCTCCCTTGCTGGCTGGCTTTCCAAAAGGATACAGTACTCAATTTCAATCATTCGAAAGATCAGGGAGCATTTTCCACATGTAAAACTATATAAGGTTCTGCTTGCTGTTGAGGTATGGTGTCCTAATCTTGTCTTCTGCTAACTTGATTGGATCATTTGGGAACTATATTTTCATATTGTAAACTGTTTGTATCCCATCTTAAGATTAAGGTGAAAACAACGTGTGGGTTCTAGTTTTTTGAATCTTAAATCTTAATAAATTACTAGACAAGTATGGCTATCTGGCAGTTGCTATATTGTTTGAAAGTAAAGTTTTTAACTTTTGTTTTTTTTATAATCATTTATTTGTGAAAGCAACATTTTTTTTGAGACATGATGGTATTATAATGTTAAGCTAGGTATTAGAAATAATGTTAAGAATATTTAATTTCATTTCACAAATTCTTAATGTTAAGAATATTTAAATTCATTTCACAGATTCTATGTAAAATGCTCTTTTGTACCAAAATAAAATTCAAATTTCTTTTGGTTTCATGGATAAGTTGGCGAACAAAGGGAACTTCGTTTTGGATTACATGATAACTTCTGTAGTGCATAAGTTCAAAAACAAATTAATGAATAACAAGTGAAAATCATTGATTTAACATGACATGGAGGTATACAGTTCACCCACTAGAGTTCATATAAATATGAGACCAAAGATTGTAAACTTGTAAGATTTTACCTTTTACTTTCCATATATATATATATATAGTTCGTCCTTTTACACTTACTCGTTGCATCTCGGCTGTAACTCATGGATACACCTATGTCCTTTTGGTATGGATTGTAGGTAAGAAACTTGTTTACGTTTGTTATAATAAGGAAGACTGTTGTAAATAGAATTTAGCAGTCCGTGATACTAAGAAGAAATAGGTTTTCTAACATAAATCAACTTTCTTCTGAGAGTTTTTCTTGGCAGTTTGTGATCGCATCACAAATCACAATGCTTGGTGCAACTAGGTGCATCTTTATCTCTTTTGCTTACCATGGTCTGTACATGGCCTTGGTAAAACATACATAAATATTGTCATACCTGATAAAGCTAATTTGTTGGAGTATCAATCTTTTATTTTGATACTCTACTTATCATTTGTCATTCGGAAGTGGAGTTTTCTCTTGGGCCTCAGTTAAACAACATAGTGTTGCTTTGTCAACAACAGAGGCAGAGTACATGAGTGCAACTGAGGCAACTACTCAAGCTGTGTGGCTGAGGTTTGTACTTCAAGATTTTGTGAAAAACAAACTGAAGCTACCCCTCTACTGTGATAATACATATGCCATTGCTATGACAAGAAATCTTGTGTTTCATCAAAGAACCAAACACATTGGGAGAAGATATCATTACATTCGTGAGGCTTTGCAATCAAACATTATCAATCTAATCTACTGTAAATCAGAAGAAGATCAACTTGCTGATATTTCACCAAGGCTCTGCCAAAAGATAGATTATGCACACTCAGAGAGAAGCTTGGAGTTAAGCCAGCTACCAGCTTAGAAGGGAGTGTTGGTGGATAAGCATGGGAGTTGGATCACAGATGCATTGCAGTTGAAGAATGGAAGAAAGAAATGGAGTTCGAAAGGTTCTAAGTGTTAGAATAGCTGAAGTTCAAATAATGTAATGAACGGCCAGGATTATATCATTTCTAGGATGTATATTCTGCCACATGTCTACTTTGTTAGAAGTTAAATGAAAACATGTGTTGTGCACGTGATAAATTGATAATAGTCACGCTGCAAGTGTGTGAGTGTGGGTATGCAACAGCTATAAATCCCACCATGTAGATTCGAGCTATGAAAGTAGCTCAAAGTTCATCTCTCTAAAGTTCATCTCTGATATTCAATCTTTGAATTCATTTCAATTACTTGTTGAATTGATTACAATTACACAGAGAAATTTAGCTTGAAAGTAGCTCAAACATTAACATTTTGGATTCAAAGATATTTTTGTGACAGGAACAAGTACTTGTTGAATTGTTCATCTCTGATATTCAATCTTTGAATTCATTTCAATTACTTGTTGAATTGTTCATCTCTGATATTCTTCGTCGATCTGCTGAGGTGGGGATTTATTGTGGGGGGTTTTAATTTTTCTGGGGTTGTTTCTTTCGATGTGGTATAGCTGTAAGTGGAAGCTCTTATGGTTGGAAATGGGCCTACCTTGTTGGTGCTGCTGACGGTCCAAAGAGGATCAGTGGCTCAAACCATTGTTTTCGTCATGCGTTGGACATATGGGCCTTCATTTCAAAAGATGATTAGAATGAATTTTTTTTTATTTTTGGAAAGTAATTTTTACTTCATTTTTCTCTTGTACATTTCCTAGTATTTAGTTGTGTACAGATGTTTATTCAATCTGCTATCCATGTTTCACTCATTGTCTGCGATCAAGTGTCACAAAACTTAATATCGATGTTTCTCTCATTGTCTGCGATCAGAACTTAATCTGAAATATAAAAGCAATGTTCAAGCGTGAAAGAATTTACAAACGTACACCCAAATTAATGAGCTTGAGATATTCTGAAAAGAAAAAGAAAAAAAAACTTAGATTGAACGTTATGAGTCACATAGGAAAACTCAAACGATTTAAAAAGGCAATGAAAACCTGCAAATGCATTGTGGATTGCATTTCATTTATCACCATTACCAAAAGACAGGACTTAACCCCATCTTAATCCTTGAATACATTCTTCAGCAGCTTCGGCTTAGAGGATGAGATGAATAGGGGTTCATATGGTTTGTCCTTGGGACGTTCTGGGCACTTTTCCGGCCAGTGGAGACCACTATGCTTACAATAGTCACAATATGCGACAATAAGACGTCCTTTCCAGGAACCACCAGGGTGGACACAAAGGTTGGGGTTTCTGTAGAGTTGACAATCAAAAATTAATACCACAAACTACACCATAGCCATCGCCAACAATAGCACCAGGTGGAACACCATTCCAGTATGGACAGGCAGAACTGAAGTGCTCATTTTCCTTACGGCAAACTCGACAGTGCTACGTTCTTCTTGTTCAGTTTTTACCTCGATCTGGAGTTGAGCCTTCGAGTCTCCAACGTCCTTTAGTAAACATTTTTCTTTTTCTGTTTGTTAGTAGTTCCATTGTTAAATACAAGAAGCAGAAGAAAATTCTTTAAATCACTTATTGTTATAACAATATATAACCTAAATCTTCTTGCAGCACAACATGCATACTATAGAGTTATAAACAAAATGTATTGAGCCAATTACACAATTATTAAGTAGCAATTGAGTTGAATGTAATTGTGAGCTTGAAGGAAAGTATCTGCATGCATATATATTCATTCGGGAGATATTGAGGATTATTAATATTACTCATTCAGTCAAATAAAAAAATTCAAGGTAATCTTCCCAGCACAAACCCTAAAACAAAAGCAAAAGCCATACCATTAGATCTCTGGATATGGAGGACTCTCCGTCGGGGTTTCTCCACAGATCCGGATCTCACACGAAACTTGGGTTTAGTTCCGGATTTGTATTTGGGTTTGGCTTTGGCCTTCACTTTTGCCTTGGCGCAGACAGTTTGCGCAAGTAGGATTTTGGCGTTAGGGAGGTGAGACTTGGATTTCGGTTTGGTTCTAGTTTTTGCTTTGGATTTGGCCATGGCTTTCCACAGATAATATATTGCAGATCAGAAAGTCAGGAGAGGGAGAGGCACAGATTTCACAAATTAGGGTTTCAGGGTTATTAGGAAAATGGTGATGTATAAAAAGGGAGAGGGCCGACTTCGGTTTAATAGGAAATTACCTCTTTTGTATTTTAAAAGAAACTGATTTTACAGCTTAAAAAGTCAATACTTTCAAGTTTGTTGTATAGGGCCTTCTTTTCTTTATTTTTTTTTTTTTTTTTTGGTCGAGTTTTTGGGCTATTTTGAAAAATGTATGGATGGTTTTCACAATTCTCTCAAGCTAAAACCTTGATTCTACTATTTACTTTCTCACACCATCCTAATGCTAAAACCCCAATTGTGCAATCGCTCTACTTCATAACACTAAAAGCCCTAGCTACTTCTACAATCTCTCTACTTCACAACGCTAAAAACGCTACTTCTACAATCCCTCTCTCTCTTATGACGCCATGGCGGCAAAATTGAAAGCAAAATCCAAATCCAAAAACAACTCCACAACAGAACCCAAATATTTCCAGTACCGCATGAGATCAGGAGCCGGTGTGTGGAAGAATCCTTGTATGGCTTTATTTTTGTTTTAGGATTAATTTGTGATGGAGAAGATATTATTATAAATAATTATTAACATCTCCCAAATAAATATACATGTGCATCTATACCATCCTTCAAAACAATTTCAATTCAATTCCATACATATTTAACTCAGTTGCTACTAAATAACCTTTTTTTCCTTTCCTGGAGAGAGTATTTCAAGCAAAGCAGGCCGTGCCATGCATAACTCTATATACATATTGTGTACCAGCTGTATAAGTATACATTAATCTGGCTATCATATAAGCAACAGTTTATTGATAATGTCATAGTGCTTTCTCCGTACTAGGCATGTTATGTTCCCATGTCCCTTGGCTTAAAATACCCGCCAAGTCCCTTGGCTAACTGTTAACAAATTTCCCAAAAAGTTTTTCGAAACCGTTGCAATATAAACTCGATTGTCTTGGTCGCCTTCAACATCAAAATACATATTTCTCCACCAAGATCTAATAAATGGAAGCTTAACCACTTCATCTACAACGGTTGTTAATCGAAGCAACTTTTTAACAGAGGACTCTGAAGTGAAAGTCGCAAGGCGAAGATAATAGTTGCCCTTCAATTTTGTTAAGGGATGCCCGTAATTTTTTATATCTCTTCCGTGCCTAGACAAGTTGAAAATATTATGAGTATATACAGGGAAGAGAGAAGATCATAAATATAGACAAGAGAGAAGTAACTTACTCAAGCCAACCCGTTAGTTTTTCTTCCGCAAGTTTTCCTTTCGGCTTATAAACAATAAACACTGACGTCTTGTTAACAGCTTTTAATCGATGAAAAAATTTCATATACAATTGGACAACAGTGTTGTTGGATTTACGTTCGATTTGATTCGATGTCACATATATCACTGCCAACCGATCGATAAACAGATAAATTAATACATTGATTGATAACTCAACTGAGGAAACAAATTGATTGAGAGATTACTTAATTACCCTTCAAATCTCCTCCAGTACTGCGATCGAGCAAAGATGCTTGTAACAATACATAGCTGACTTCCTCGCTTGCCTTAGTTATGGAAATTTTGTTGATATTTTTAAACCTAGAAAATTCTTCAGTCATTGCATCCTTAGCAGCCTCCTCACCTCCACCTAATGCATCAATTGTAGTGATGTTCCTAGAAAACAATTTACCCTTTTGCTTATTTTCGTCGTAAGCATACCCGATAAGAGACACCTTTGGCTTCTGCACATAAATAATAACAAGATAATTAAATAACTATATTATAGACATTTTTTATATGTACGATTACATTGAGGACTGAATGAATAAATTGGTCATGAACTCGTCACATCCACGAGATTCGAGTTTACATGCGAAGAAGAATACCATTAAATTGTAGTATAAAGTGGTATATTATAAACACTTAAATTTCCAATTCCACTCCGGCAATGTATAATCCAAATGTACAGGGAGGACTAATAGTCTGTATATAACGGAGTCCAACATTTGTTGTTCGTGTAACAGGTTTAGAGCCTTTCAAATCTTTAGCTGATACGTTTTCCTCCAAGTGTTTACAAGCTTTTTCGCATTCTTCAGCATTCCCCGCCATCGTTACAACTATATTGGTTGGAGTTACTTTTGAATCTTTTGAAACTTTTTCCTGTGTCTCTCTAACTGAAAATATGAAATATTCAAAGACTAAATAAATTAAGGTGAAGCTAATAAACCCTAAAACCTGTAAAGAAAACGAAAACAAAAACAAAAATAATAATAGAATGAGAAGGAGAAGGAGAAGGAAATAAAAAAAATTACCTATGCGACGTCCCTCATCTCTTGTTACCCTAGAATCGTAACCGATTACTACTCCTTTACGTAAGACCACGATAATAATTGTGGTTCCTTCATGCTATATATTAAGTAGAACCATAGGGAATTATTAAGATATTCTATATAGTAAAGAAACAAAGAGAAATTTTAACAATTGTGTCATCATATACCTGTTCATGATGAGGTTTTTTTGAATGAGGTATATCCATTAATTGATTTCTTTTTTACGACGACGGTGCAAGCTAGTCTTAGACAGAGGGGAGTTTGTCCGAGGCAAATTGTCTCGACTACGTTGGGAGTACTCTATAGAAATTCCAAGAAGTATGAAAGGTGATATTTGATGGTGTGTTCAGGACGTGCATGCGCCTCTTCTTTATAGTTAAGATTATAACAAGGTCAACCCCCTATTTGGACTCGGGAAGAAGTTAACAAAGGAAAGTCAACTCTCACAAGTCTTGGAAAAATAAATGATCCAAGAAGATCCTCATCATGTAAGCGTAATTTTTTAATACGTACGATGTTATTATGTGAGCGTATAGTGTTTAGAGTAAGTTTTATCAAAATTCAATATCTTAATCACACACGTTTTATTAATTTTCTTGTTGGATAATGGGAAAGCAGGAAAGTTTTTCCAAATAATAGAATGTGAGTATATATACAACCTAAAACCTATAGGCAAGTTTTATAAAATTTTGGAATTATATTTTATTTTCTATGTTAGCCTATAGGAGGAAATAATCAATAATATAAGTTTCCTTATTCTCGTGGATTTAGTTTTGCTTGTGCAATTAAGAATGATACGTATTTCCCGTTTTCAGGTAATCTCACATCTTGTTGTTTTCCTCTCAAAT